AAATATCATTATAAATTATGTGTAGAGCTGATTCAGTATCAGAAACTATACACAATCACGTGTATAAGCTCACTCAGTATTTCTCAGATATTGACCGAACTGTTTTTCCGGCTCCGCTCTTGACACCGACGCACTAATTTCTGAACCCGCCGCAACTGGGCCCCCGGTTGAACTAGGGGTTCTTTGTCACGCACGACCATCTCATCGGAGATCTCGCTTTTGCTGAGATTGCAGACTAGAATTGAAAAGGGTCCAGAAGTCAAATGGAAGCTGAGAATCAATTCCTTGGCAATCTGAACTCCGCCGAGAGGTTTTTCCGGCGCCTCTCTACACCCCATAGCGTTCAACTTGTATCCCTGTATATCCCTATCATTCCGATCGCAGGTGCTCCTGAGCAGTACCGAAGCTCCCACCATCTGAGGCTTCATACGTAAAAATGTATCCGCCTAGAAAACGCCAAAAAGTATCATCTGCATGTCAGAGATGCCGTCAGCGCAAGCTTGGTGTGCGTTCGTTACCCGTCCTCAATGTTTCGGACACACCAGCTAACCCCCTCGTAGTGTGATCAGCAACGCCCTTGCCAGCTATGTGTACGGGCTGGTGCAGCGTGCATATCGCGTGGAGGTTCAAGTCCCGCAGGGGTGGTGGCGTCTGTGGAAGAACCCGGAGATTCTCCCGGAAGGCGTGAAGGTGACATCCACAATGACCGTCTTGAGACCGTGATCCTCCCAGAGTCGAACATCGTGGATTTGAGTTGTCAGGTCGGTTTTGACTCTGCCGACTCGTTCTTAGAGCTGATATTTGATAGATGCTACGAGGCCAAGGAAAACGACGTGGCCTGTCCCATGATACTTCAGCGCTGCCAGGAGGCATGAATTCCGCTGTTTCTGTCGCCACACGCTCGATTTCATGGCGGGATTTAGTAGGATTGCCTTTACCGCCGAAGACGGTACTTGACACATTTATGGCTCTTTTCTTTGACTCTGTTGATTGGTTTATGATGGTATCGTAGCAAACATTATCTTCTGGGCTATTGCCGTGATGTTGATGGTCTTCTAACAGATGTTCCACGAGGAAAGCTTTCGACAACGGTACGAAAACTTGATGGCCTCCACTATAATCCCGGAAGGGGAGAACAGTAATTTCTTGTGGCTTGTACGGTTGGTGCTTGGCCTCGGAGCCTACTACGGGTCGCTGGACGCTCTGGGTGCCGATGCAGATAGTATGAAACAGCTTTCGCAGGATCTGCTGATGCAAATCGAACAAAATATCTTGGCCATTATTGATTTGCCAAGTCTGGAGACAGTACAAATATGCGTGTTGTTGGGGAGCTTTCATCTTTTCAATGGCCGCCCCAATGCCGGTCTAATGACTCTGACGGGTGGACTCAAAACCGCGCAAGTCATCGGGCTCCATCGCGAGTTAAAGTGGCGGGGGCTTTCGGACGTTGCACGCGAGACTCGGCGGCGCTCATGGTGGGCATTGGAAGTTGCAGACAAGCACGTATCCCCAAAACTCATTGTCAAAAGTGCCGTGGCTAATTGGAGTGGTGACAGCAGATACGCGGCTGTGGCCTTTGGACGACCATGCACAGTGGATGATTCCAACTGCGAGGTTGCGTCTATTAGCGATATCAAAATATATGGCCATGAAGAAACCCGACAAGGGCCATCGTTGGAATACCATCAGTGGAAGTTCAAACTTTACCGCATCGTGGGTCCGCTCTTGAGCCGAAGACTCCAAGCTAATCGGCTGGAGAGTCTCACTGCTATTCATACTCAACTCTCCTCCTGGAAGAACGAGCTACCTGATAAACTCCGGCTGGAAACATACAAAGATGACCCTAAGAGCGAATCACGAATACCTGAAATGCAGGCATTGGTTCTCCAATTGACCTATGATAATCTCCAAATTATTCTCCACCGCAGCGCTGCATTTGGTTACAACGAACGCGGATTCCATTCAAACAGTGGCGCGACCCCGCACAACTCTTCCCGAGAGCAACTGCTGGAGTCCGCATTAAGAACCTCTAAATTGCATCAGCATGCTCAACTTCTACAATCATGCCGCAAGACACACGCTGTGATGCACATTGGGATCTGCCTGTTCACAGCTGGTGTCGTCCTCTGTGCGATTGCACTAGCGCAGCCTCTGTCAGTAGCCAGTCAGAAGGCAAAAGAAGGCGTTATGCGTATCCTACGCTTGCAAGAAGACAGTGTATCCTCCCAGCATCTTCTTTCTATCCAGAGTGTCCAGATCTTGCGGGATCTAGTGACTGTCGTTATGCGCTCCGAAGAAAGGGTTATATTGGGCCACGGTTCGAGTTCTATACCTGAGAGACCTGGTGGTGACCATTCGACCTTACCAATATCGCAAGCCGATTCTATAATCATGGATCAGGCGTTACTTGATGATACAGGTGCAGCCCAGCCATCTTCAAATCCGGGTGCGCTCAATTCTCTGCAACAAGGTCAGTGTGCTGTTACAACCTGCAGTCTACGCCACTCTCTCATAAATGTATACAGTCTTCAGACAACATCTAGACCAGTCTCTCCCTGTAGTTGATCCCTCGGGCTTAATAGGCCCCAGTGGTGCACAAGATCCTGTGGAAACGCAACAATCAAACCCATCAGCAATGTTCTCATGGGATGGGAATGTATCCGCCCTAGTTGATGCTGGACTTGTGGATGCAAGCCAGATGTGGTTGTGGTCAGATAATCTGGAGTATCAATCGTTCTCAGAACTGGGCAACATGTTCCCTTGACACAACACGTGGTTTCCCGCCGCGTAGAGACCAAGCGTGACGGCGCTCGATAACTCGACTCCAGTGAAACCACAAGAAAAGAAGTGACACTGACGGCTACGGACTTGGATAAATGCTCTTCCTGTTCCTACTGGTCGGTTTCGGATGACTTGGCACCATGACATACACGAAAGGACTCGATATCACTCGACTACTTAAATACATAGATTTTAAGACTACGACCCTTCGAATGTCAATTTATGATAGCGTTCGCCTCTGGTCCAGCGCATTGATGATTCTTTTCTTGTTGGATGCTCCTTGTTTAGAGCTTGTCGAAGGCGGTCACGGCGGCTTCGGCAGTGACATGGGCACTAGCAGGGTTGGCACCTGTCACGACGCGTCCATCTGTAATGGTAAATGCGTCCCATGGTCCCGGGGGAGAGACATCTGTAATTATTAGCACAGATCGTTCATGAGCCAAAGGAGAACAACTCACAAGTGGCCCCACAACTGGCTGCGGAAGCCTCAATAGTCGGCCTGTTCCAGCTCTTGATGGTGTCGAGTACGTTTTCCTCTTCTTCGCCGCGAGTGGTAAAGCCCGTCACTCTGCGAGAATCGATGATAGACTTGTTGGTACTAGGATCTATAACGCCGGGGAAGATGGCGCCACCGTGGCAGCTAAGAAAGTCTCGTAAGCTCCGAGAGTCCACCGTGATCGGGGATAGGGAGATAACCTACACTGCTGAGACAATACCGCCCGAGGTAAAGATTTTGGAAGCGATCGCTTGTAGACCCTTGGCGTCCGGGTAGTCGATCAAAGACGCATGTCCAGCCGAAGCAAAGAAGAGTCCATACTATGATCTCAATTAGCAATTGGACATTTAAGTCGGTTTCAACCTGGCCTGGTTGGTGGTCATTCACCTTTTCTGGATCAATATCGCTCGGCTTGAGCAGGTTGTCAAGCTTGGAGCGGAATTCACTCGAGTGGTCCTCCCACACGGCGCGGTCTTTATCGTTTAGCCAATCCTTCTGCTGTGAGAGCCAATCAGGCTGGTAGGTTCCTGTTTCGGAAACCAGGTCAACCTCGAAACCGGCTTTACGGAAGACCTCGAAGGGATGCAGGGCTTCAGTAATAAAGAGGCCTGTTCGTCTGAGTCAGAAATGTACCTGGCAGATAGCATATCTAGGTGCCAAAAAGGAAAAAGAAAAAACTCACCAGTCTCCTTGCCTTCCGGATAGAGGGGGGCGTGAGCGGAGGTGATAGCAATAAGGGCGCGACGAGCCGGCGACATTGTAGACAGTGTAGTGTAAATGAAATCAATTAACTTGATATCGAATGTTCCAAAGTTGGTATTGTCAGCTTTACAATAATCGTCCATAGGTACCTCTGGGATGAAGTAGCTTTATAGCCTTGCAGTGTTGTCTGAGCGCCTGCGACCCCACCTTGTTGATTCCGTGGTAGCTTTCACCAAGTCCGTCGGAGCTCAACCGCGCCTACTTTTGGGGGTCGTCCGTTCGTTGTCGGAACTCTATTCCGTACACGCAGCCAGAAAGCCAATGATCACAGTGATTTGTAAGCTTTTGGACGGTTCTGGACGATGCGCCGGACTGTGAATCAACTCTAACTAATTACAACAACATAACAAGACGTCACGACTGCAGGCGAAGGTTCGAGCTGGGCGTTTCTCGTATACACTACTAGATTTTTTTTGACCTTCCCATTGTGATCTTAATTTTACAAGCTTGTGATCCTAGTTTAGAAACATCGTACATGCCTTGATTCATCCTCTTTTGCTAAAATTAACTATAGCCCGTCGCTTACTCAACAAGTTCACAGCATGAGGAAGATTTCTCCCATGCCTCCGCCCGCCACCACCAGGCTTCTACCTTGGGAGGAGGAGCTGTCCCAGATTTAGCCAGTAAACCCGTCTTTACATACGCCATAACCGGGTCCCCCGAGACGATCGACATAATTGCACTATGTAAGTTCACTTGGATATCCGTCCTGGGGCGATATACACCTGTTGGAGAGCCCAAAGGTGTCCTCCGCAAGATCTCCTGGCTCCGTCGGACCTTAACTCGATTCCAAAGTTACGAGGACTGTGGGAAGCATTTTGTGGGTCTCCTCAATTTGCGTATTGGATATCTTGGACGGAACTAGGCTAAAGCGGCTCACCCGCGTCTACCGTGATAAGCGTATCGAAAGTCCGACGGAGCCAAAATGCAACCCTGCAGAAAGCTCCACATCTAAGGGTAACTAATGACGGCTGCAGACGGTGACTGATGCATACGTAGCGTACTTCCACCTAGTGGGAGTTTAGGTCCCGTTTTGCAGCTTGAACGTCATTTCAAAAGCCTAGATCTATACCGCCACCCCTTTCTATCTAATTACCCATTGCAGTGTCTGCAGCTCTGACTTAAGTACTCTGCGCAGCTGCTGGGTATGTCTTGCTTTAAAACTCCGTGCTGTGCCCTCAATCAGACGGTTCCGAATCACTCTCTATAGACACCAGCCGACTACCCCTGCTGCGTTGGACATGAAATTGTCGGCACAGCTATACGTGTTGGGTCAGCTGTTACTAATGGTATTTCGGTGGGTGATCGAGTAGCTGTTGGTCCGCAGATTAATGCCTGTCTTTGCTGGAGGGGTGTATGTCAGGAGTGTGCGATTGGGAGGGAGAATTACTGCCACCTGCACCTCACCGCAACATACAATGGTCGGTATCTGAGCTGTGATAAGCCCTTCGGCGGATTTGGACGGTATACACTTTGTTTTATTATTCTCCGTGCTCGGTAAAGGGTGGAGGCCCACCCTTCTCGGAGGCCTCCGAGGCTTGGCACATTAACCTCCGTCGGACTTGGTGTACGTAATCAAGTGGTAGGTGCACGAGGTAGTCAGCTATTTATTTGAGCTACGTCACTCCTCGGAGTTAGCTAAAATTTCCAGCTAATCCTCTCCTCCTTGATCAGAGGTATATAGGTAACTATACAGCCATACAGCCAACGTCTTATATTGAGTGATATTGATACTTACGTAATCATTGGAGTACAGACCTTCTCTTGAACAAATCGTCATGCCACAAATGAGAGCTGTCGGTATGTTATCGATTCCCCCCAATTGAGAAAGAAATTCGTAGGACTATACTAAGGGACATGTGATAGTGGTCGAGGGTGGCAAAGGTCCCGCGGACGCCATGTCCATCCAGGAGATCCCAAAGCCGACGCCCTCAGTTGGGCAGGCCTTGATCAAAGTCAAGGCATTTGGGCTGAACCGCATGGACCTGCTGCAGAGAGAGGGGCTGTACCCTCTTCCGCCACAGGCGCCAGAGACCATGGGGGTCGAGTTCTCAGGCACTGTGGAGTCGGTTGCTGCTGGCGCGGAAAGCGACTTCAAGGTTGGAGATGCCGTGTTCGGTCTCGCGTATGGAGGTTGTATTTGCCCTCTATTTCTCGTGCTGAATGTTCTCGTTTAACTCTTCGCAGGAGCGTATGCGGAGTTCATCGTCGTCGATACAGGGATGTTGGTGCATAAGCCTGTAGAGCTCTCATGGGAACAAGCTGCCTGTGTTCCGGAGGTGAGACATGTATTGAACTGACAACGGAGGACTCCGCTAACCCTGCAGACATGGATTACCGCATCGCAAGCCCTCCACATCATCGGAGGTTTTCAGGCCGGGCGTTCCGTACTTTGGCACGCCGGTGCCTCATCCGTCTCTATCTGTGGTATTCAACTCGCTAAAGCAGAAGGTGCCAAAGCTGTCTATGCGACGGCTGGCTCCCAAGAAAAATGCGATTTTCTCGTTAACGAACTCGGTGTGACGGCCGCCTTCAACTACAAGACCCAAGACTGGGCCGCTGAGATTAAGAAGATCACGGCTGGGGCAGGCGTCGATTTGATCGTTGACTTTGTCGGAGCAAATTACTTCCAGGGGAATATAGACGCCGCGGCGCGCGATGGCCGCATTGTCATTCTGGGCCTGATGAGCGGGCAGAAGTTGCCGAATGGCGTCGACATTGGCGGACTGCTGTTTAAGAGACTTCGCGTCGAGGGCAGTACGCTTCGAAGTCGGGAGCTGGAATACCAGCGGAAGCTCAGAGATTCCATGGTGGAGCACGTTCTTCCAAGACTCAAGGATGGGTCCTTCAAGGTCTTTGTAGAGAAGGTGTTTCCCTTTACGAAGATTGTGGAAGCTCATAAGTTGCTGGAGAGTAACCAGACGAGGGGCAAGTTGGTGTGTGTCATATAAGCTCTCGGAATCTGTTTGGATCGCCAAGTGAACGAAGCATGCCTGTATGCAGTGACCGAGCCGATCAATCGGCCATAGAGGAATTCCATAATTGTCGCTGGCTCTCCATTACCTCTCTCAATGTGGGTATAAATGATAACAAACAAGTCCTAGTGCAAGCATTCAGAGAGCGCCTCAATGGTGGATGGATTGTACAATTTGATACCATCAGGCCGCCCCACAGGGTCTATCAGCTCGCAACTATGCCGCGGAGCCGTACGCAAAGTGAACACGAACCCAAGCTAAACAGCATTCGATTGTCCTAAAGCACAAAATAAAAAACTTTCCGATCATGCACCGCCATCATAGAAGCCCACTGTGAGGAACTACCTTGTAACCGGCCATCTTATCTTTCATCCTCAACAACGTAGGGTCCCTGCAAGACCTGAGCATTCCTGGTGATGACCCGACGATCTCCGATCCATTCAACCTTAAAGATGGCACTAGCCCACTACATCAGCCCCATGCATTGAATGACAAGCGTTGAATTCCCTCAACTTACTGGACCTTTCCTCCGTACATCTTCCCATCATCCTTGGACACCACGCGCCCCTTCACCGCGAACCCAATCGTGCCCCCACGACCCTCTTCGTCGTTGACATCGGGCGTGGCAACCGCCTCATGGAACTCGAAGTCTAGGAAGGTATAGCGAGTGCGCCACTCTTGCACGAATTTCTTAAACCCGTCCAGGTCCAGTCGTTCGGAATTCCATCTGTTGGCGGAGGGGCATAATCAGGTCAGGTTATTGACCATTCCGTCTGTTTTGGAGGGTCTATTTGGAGGTCGCTGCTGAGGGGATAAGGGAGAATGATTGCTTACTCAAACAATGCATCTGAACTGTAGTTGTCATCCACAAGGTTCATGGCCTCTTCGTCGGAGGGGACTTCGTAGATCAATCTTTAAACATGACTACTTAGCAACGACCCAAAAAAAAAAAAAGAAAGAAAGAAAGAAAGAAAAGAAAAGAAAAAAAAAAAAAAAAAAAAAAAAAAAAAAAAAACAAAAAAAAAAAAAAAAAAAAAAAAAAAAAAAAAAAGTGAATGAAGACCGTACCGTTGAATGCGTTGAACGAAAAACAGCAAAGGAATCTTCACCTCTCCCTCCGTGGGAGTGGCGGTCGTTTTGGGAATGGGAAACAACATGGCTGCGCGATAAGACTAATGAGATACCTTGGCTTAATAGTGGAATAACTTCATCTCAGACCGATTGCTGGTGAGATTTATATGTTGTCAGTCTTCAAGCCGAGCAGGGTACGCGTTGCTGCTATACGAAGATGACTGTGATGATATCACAGTACGCTCTCTTGGTAAGGATCATTAAAGTGGTATCGGATTGAGCTTAGTGTAAAATCTTCGTGAGGATCAGTCCGGGGTAGAATTTCCCGTATCGAATGACAGACAACCCCAGTCCGTCCACTAAGAACCAATGTCGTCTTGTGCAGCCCGATGGGTTATTGTAGCCTTGTGTGACCATACTGCATTGAACCCTGCGTCAGCCAAGTCGGAAACAGAAGATTGTACTTTCATGACAAAGCTGGGCACTGCAATATCTCAGCTTGTTGACTGCATTATGAGAGATACAGAAGCACTGTTTACCGCTGTCTGTGAAGGCCAACTTATTGTGTCTGGAGAATCGTCCAATGAATCAACCTGTGCTATATACCCGCTCCTTATTAAATACATTTATCGTAGCTACACTGGTAAAGGAACAAGTGCTGAATAAGTCTGACCTTTTGTCAACCTCAAACTGCAGGATGCTTCGCTGCTATAAGCCCATAAAGTCTGTCTAAAAAGTCTCTAGAGTTGTACTAATAATCATAAACACGTACATATGCTGTCAATTCAGGGCTATATCCTTGTATGGAAGCCTCAATTGGCTGACTGAGTGAGGGTCCAACTACATCATCACTGACTTGCACATCCATGGCAACGATCTAGGCACAGATTAAGCCTGTTTTGCACGAGCAGCTTACACTGCCTTTGATGCACTTTGGGCTACGTTGTACATTTGGCCCCAGGATATCCAGTGCTCCGGGGTAACACACACAGCCAATCTCGGTTCGAGCGCCAATTCCTCGGATACGGCCCTGTTTTTCCTCGTCAACGCTGCTTGTAGACACCCACTGATTGGTTACAAAATCAAATCTTCTCGCTGTCAGTCAGACTCAGCAATAGTCGCAACCATAAGACTCGGTTCCACTCAGTGTTCGCTAATACACTGGTGAGACACGAAGTTTTGTAATTATCTTAGCACTACCTGTATGACCATGATGCCCAAGTAACCTCATCAGTCGAGCAGGAAGACGCGGTGGTACATTTAAAAGAAGCCCCAGCTTAGTGCTTTGAAATGAAGGAATGGTCGATCACTGATACTTTGACTTTGGTGAGAAGCATATCCTTTGATTACATCACCGAGCACCTACACAGCTTTGTCCATAATTCGTTCAGTCACACTTCGAAGCCTCAGACGATAGTTATTATGAGTAGCCATACTGGTTGGAATCTACCAAGGTACTTATAGGCGTTGTTTATTATTTGTAGTCATTGTGAAATCAATAAACACAACATACTAGTCTCCCATACTACATTTAGCTTAATCTGAAAGTTCGATTGACTTTTTGTCTAGGACCTAATATCGGCTGATAGACATTACTAAATCTTGGTGCAGGTGTTCGTCCCCACGCTTTTTTTCACCAAGGCTGCTTTAGATGACAGTCATACACCTAATTGGGTGAGTTGACTACTCGATCACTCCACTTCATATCTCTGAGCACTCGCGTTCGGAAGCACTGCATTGACAGAAGTCTTTCACAAAGATGTCTGCCAGGTTGGCTGGCATCCAGGTGACACCAAGTTCTGGGGTATTCTCGGTGGTGTTGTAATGGTAGACCAGGCAGGGCGAGGAGAGATAGTTGTTGACCTTGGGCTCAGACGATGTCTGAACAGTAAAGACAGGGAGATTGAAGAAACAGGTGGGTAGTGAAGAGGTAGCCTCAAGGACGCTCAGCTCTACAGTGCCGGCGTAGGTACCGGTGGTGTTCTGACAGGTGTAAGAATTGTCGTAGAGAGCAGTGAGGTCGACTCCGTAGGTGTCGGTAAGCTTGGTGAGGTCGGCACTGCTGATTGTCTCTGTCATTATCTGCTTAGTAAGCTCCCAGCCAGCTCCTGGATACTGCAGGGTGTAGCAGTAATCTCCGATGACCGTGCCGCTAGTTACTGATGCGCAGTCGCCCGTCGAGTACGCGCCCTTGAGGATATAGTAATTGGCTGAGACGAGAGCAGACCCTACTAGATACTCTTGAAGCCTTGCGTTGAAAGTAGTCTCGATCGCTGTCGTCTGCGTCCCTGTGAGTTTGAACATGTACCGTCCGTCAAAGAAGTTGGCCACCTCTGAGTTGTAGTCACCCTCACGCAAGTCCGCCGGCCAACTGGAGATGTTACCGTTCTGGAAGATTTCCTCCAGTACTGTCATCGCCGCCGACACCATCGCCGTGAAAACCGTGCTGACTTGTGTGAGCAGCTCCTGGCTCTCCTTTGCGGTGGAATCGCTGTCCGAGATGTCGCCCCCAGCTGTGGAGAAAAGCCCACTGAGCGTGCCCATAACACTTGATGCTGTATCCGTTTCCGCATCCAACAGGGGAATCGTGCTACCCAGGATCCCCAACACCCCACCTACGTTGTTAAACACAGTGCTGACTGAGGGCACCGTTGCTCCCGATTTGACAGGAAAGTCGGTAGCTATCGACCCCACCGCGTTGGACTGGTTGAAGGTCGCGAAGTCGAAAAGCGCCCCGAATTCCACCACATACTCGAAGAAATTTGCCACCACCCATTCGGCCCAGAATTCTGGCGTGCTGCTGTAGCTGGTGCAGTCGGTGGGATAGCCACAAGGACCGTCAGGATAGACGTCACATGACGTGGTTACCCCGGAGCTATAGAACATTGTGTTCGCCCATTCGTAGCCTGCTTGGCGAGGTTCAATTAGTCATCGTCACCATCCTGCAGGGTAAACTTCAGTTAGGGATGAACAACATACTGCTCGTGGACGTCTCCTCTAGAAGCCAATCAATGTATGCAGCCACCCCGCGTTCTTCACTTGCCTGCGCCGCGGTCTCGTCCGAGGAGGGAAGAGCGCACGTTCCATTTCCGGAGAAGATGGTGTTGATGTTGGAATCCTTCTTAAGGAAGTAAGACTCAAATGCGTCGAGGTCGGTCGGATCAGTGACAAATTCCTCGAGGTCAATTGCCCACTCAGTCGTGCCACCCATGTTCAGCCCCTGATAGTAGGTGGTACGCGTGCTTTTCGTTGTGTTGGTCATGTAACCAACCCACTGTGTTTCATTGTAGACAATGATATCGGAATCACTTCCAGCATCAAACAGCACCTCCACCGTTGGATTAGATGCGATAATTTCATTGATCTCCGCATTGGAAATGTAGCCAGCTGTTTGGGTACAGCGGCCGGGGGTGGCTCCAGAGTCAGGCCCTACATAGGTACAATCCGGACCAGTGCAGTTTGCAGTGGTCATCTCAAAGGAACGTCCGTAACTGGCTACACCGACCATCAGCTTATTAGTATCCATTCCAGCTTTAGTGACCATTGAAAGGGCGTAACCGGTCTCTGTCAGATTAACATGCGAGCGGAGGCAGTTACCATCCGCACATCCATCATCTGCTGAGGTATTGCCGTAGTCCCACTGGCCATGTAGGTCATAGGTCATGAAAACCACAAAATCAACAACAGAGTTGATTTGGGAGACTGGGAAGCCCTTCAAGTACCAGTAGGAGGCGGGCATAGCTATAGAAAGCGTTTTAGAGGTACCAATGACTGATCGAACCTCTTTCAGGAATGCCACGTAGTTTGTGCCATCGTCGCTGTTACCGGCGGGAATTCCCGGAATATCAGGCTCACCAGGATACTCCCAGTCGAAATCAACCCCATCCAGGTCATATTGTGAGACAAAATCGCCGATATTTTTGGCTAGAGTTGCACGGTTGTCGGCAGTAACACCATCACGGAAGATTGTATATGTATCAGTGTCTGTCGAGAAATCCCAGCCGCCAAAAGAGACAATTTTCTTGACATTCGTAAGATTCAAGAACTGTTCAAATTGGTTCGTTTCGTTGATGGTAATTGAGTAATCTGCATTGATAGTGCCAAACGCATATATAACATGGGTGTATTTGCTGGTGTCGATCATGTAGGCATTCATTTTCAGGCAGGTACGTTCCACATTGTAGGCTTCGAAATATCCAATAGAGAAAAACTCCTCTGGAGCAGTAGAGTTATTGACAATATTTGTCCCGCAGTTTGAGATGCATCCATTCGTATTAGCTTCCGCTGTGCCAGGGTTCCCGGTCGTCGATTCGGTAATGGTACAAAATTCTGGCGTAGTACCACATTGCCCCCAAGCATCACAGCATGCATTGAGTGTACATGGGTTCAACGTTGCCCACTCGCTATAGTCTGTTCCGTTGGCCGTTGTTCCGGGAACCTGAGGGCCGCAGGTCGTCCCTGTCACTGGAGCTGGGAAAGGCGGATCGCCACTACTCAGGCAGATATTCTCACCAGCCTGGAGGTCGTCACAACCCAACCATCCCCATGTATGGTTGTTGTAAGATTCAATGTCGTCGAGACTCATACTATAAGCGGCAGCGATGCTGGAGCATGAGTCACCGGATTCCACGAGGTACGTGTAGCAGGTGCCATTGCTGTAGGCCTCAGGGGAGAGATCAGGCAGGTCACCTGAGCTGCAGCATACATATTGGCCAACAGCAAGAGTAGAGCACAGATCAGAGGCCGTGTTGTATTCGTAGAACTCAGTGGACGTGATTCCGCACTCTGTGACCAATGTCGCACAAGAGTCCCCAGACACCACTTGGACGGTAGAACAGCTGTCTGCACGGGACTGCAGGGTACCAGGAAGGGATCGAGCAGCCACAGTGCCATCACCCTTATCGGAAGTAGACACAGTTATCAGCGTTGTCGGTACAGAGGTCTGGGACCCAAAGCCGGACACACAATCACCATTGCTCCATGTTTTCACCAGTTCCTGGATAGCAGGAAGATCGCCATTTGTGTTTACAGCCACACCAGCCACATAGTTGGCTGTCGAACCACAGTATTGCATTGCCATCTGCTCGGAGACGCCTAGGGTACTATATTGATCGAGCATTTCTTGGATTATGTTCGTAGCGGTAGTAGAAGAATCCAGGCGACCCCCGATATAGATGCCAACAGCTGTCTGTCCAGACAAGCCAAACAAACTCCTCTTCTTGTGGCCTGCCACCATATAGGTTTCAATATCCGCGAGTGCTCCAGAGATTTGGCTGTCAGCTGAGTTAGAAGCCAGCCCCCACGCCCCAAACTCTAGATTAACGGACAGCCTGGTGGCATTTCCACCTTCTTCAGACCGCCTAATCATAGTTGAATTTGTGCTACCGTCGGTAGTACAAGCGTAGATTGTGGAATGAGTCTGAGACCCATTCAGAGGATTGAAAATAGCAAAGTCAAGAAGCATGGGTTCATCACAGGCTGCGACACGACTAGTGGAATGATATACCATCCAATTAAATGGGTCATTGCTGGCACTGCAAGCGTTGGGGCAGGCGTTCAGACCACCCCGTTGCGCTGCTGCAACACCTGCAAGGGAGGCCGCTCCCAGAATGGTGCGAAGGTACATGGCGAAGATCAATTAAATGAAAAAGAATGTTTGGTCAAATCAGACAAATAATCATGATTAGGTGTAGGCAGATATGATAGAAGATTTATGAAGTAAGGAATGAAAAAGCTAATGAGTGACTAGGATGATGATTGGGTTGTAAAAGAGTGACCGATCACAGTAAAGAATGCACGAAGGAAAAGGTAGTTGGAAAAATGATCAACGCTGCATGTCAAGTCTGAGCTGACTATTTGGTCGCCTTATATAGAAAAGAATTTCTAAACCATGCTGCAAAATTCTCCCTCAAAGCACCTACGGGTTTCGTACACTTCATACACTTCATGTCCTCAAGTATCAAAAATTACGGACTAAATCCAATAGTTCAAACTCAGTAGGTTTAGCTCCCTGAAGTAAATTAATTCGTTACCAGGAAATACGGGAGTCGCACCCAGATCCGAATTCAAGTTCAGTTCAACGAGAGCCTACCTTCCATGGTCGGCCGTCTCGGTCAATTATTCGCAATAGTGCTGTCAGATTAATAGGTTTTTGAACAGGCAATATAGAGAACTTGAAAATGGAGGTCTGGCTCACGACCTCTGTACTTCAACCTACAGTAAAGTTGGTTTTTAAGGTCAGTCGCTGCAGAATAGCTACCAAATGGCGGGCTTTAGAATCATCTAAGATGTCCTGAAGAGGAAATCGAGGCCGATATCGTTAGTTGTTCCAAGTTCGGATTTACGTAAATCTTCCGCGTGTCAAATCCGATCGGAGCGAGGCGGCCGTTTTTGTCGGCCGATTAGCCGAGCTTCAAAAGTTCCCCTTTCATGAGCACCCTTTTCTATCTTCAGCCTGTTGAAAGACTTTTAACTCCGAGACCCCCAGACCCTGAGACCCTGATCAACAGGGCTCAGTTCCCTAAACACCCATTTAGACCTCAACTCATATCTAGCAAGAGCAACAACACCTCTATACCACGCCCTATGCCTCACTTAGACCCGGCAACGTTAACATTAAATGTCTCAGATTGACTTTGGAATGGCTACAATAAGCTTTGCTAAGCCGAACTGAAAAGTTTGCAGTGGGGTCCACATGAATCTACCCGAACGAATTCTTTTTATCCATCTTTCATCTTACTTATGGGATACTAGTGGAAAACTAGTAAATTAGCACCCATACTGATACCGTGCACTATGCCAGAATAGTGTCTGGGAAATGATTATAAAGTATTCACGGGGTCATGGGCGCAGAGATTTCGCTATTCGTCCTCCTCAAGGTCTTTCCACTTTGTCTGCTATGCCCCAGACTCACTTTTCCTAACCCATCATTTCTGCTCGCGTTCCTGTTTACTCCCGATCACACGATGGATTTCATTCCTTGTTCGTTCGATGCCTTTATTGACAATTTCTTGGCGTGCTACCGACCCTGCTACTCAGACTATCTCCAGCAGCTGGTCACCAACGGGACCTGTGGTGCTAACTACACCACCCTGGCCGCCAGCACCGACCGCTCTGATCTCAAGTGCATCTGCGAGAACGCAAACGGGGTCTCCAATAACTGGACGTCGCAGGTCCTGGAGTGCACGCACACCTCGTGTAACGGAACATTCAACTACACCCGGTGGGCAGACAGTATGTGGAGCTACGATAACATGTGCTATTACGCTTCAGGTATGTCCTTCCTAATAGTTTTATTCCCTCTTACCATCTATTTTCTTCGTCCATTCACCCCCCACATCTCTACTTCTTGGTTCTGGTGGCGAGCAGTAGCTGACTTGGAAGCGAAGGCACGGCGGGTTACAAGACATGCTCCTCCTCAGCGGCATCCAAGACAACATCCACCGCTGGACTGGTGATTGGGCTATTGGCATTGAGCCAGGTATTTTTGCTTTGAGAGCGTATGAACTAAATGCAGTGCCCTGGCTTACTAGCTACTTTGTAACCGGGGAGGAGGGTTGGCCTGCAGAAAGGCACTGTACAGATTGGGATCTCAACGAATAATCATCCCCTTTCGGGAAAACCCCGGTCCCTTTCATACATATGCTCAATACCTCTTCTAGACCTTTTAGGGAGGTAGTACGGAGTATACAACAAACCAATTAAACGCTTTATCCAACTTAGGTCGGCTCCGACAAGTCCCAGCGCCTTACCCGTTCCTGCTATTGCGGAATTGTTGGATGACCCGCTGCTACCCCTGGTTGGTAACCGCTAGTAAATCAGCAAAACATGGTTCGCAAGTTAGAGTACTACCGAGGGGAAAAGAACAGAGAGGTGATATAGACTAGGGGCAAGCGAATACTAGATTACATACCAATACACACTTTTCAAGCCAAGGGACAATAAACTTCCTGTGGGGCCTACTTGTGGGTGTGCAGCTATCGGAAACATACAGAAGTTCATAGAGTGACAGTTCAGCTAATGCTCGAAATACGACGCAGAGTAAGTCTTATTAAACCCCTCTTCATTGAGTGGAAGTCCGACCTGTCGGAGGGCGCAAAAAGGGGGTCAGAAAAGATGGTGTTGGAGTGGAACCGAGCCCTATCGATCTTGCCTCTGACACCTGACTAAACGAAATCGAACTAGTGGAGAAACCCCTCGGACGAACCGGCCGGTATCGCTCGTCATGGCAGATACAGTTCGGCAAGGCCGGTAACAAACAAAGTATACTCTGTAATGATGCCTTATGCCGGAACATCACGGCCCCTTCGTCATCCCTTCATTGATGTGAGAAGACCATAAGGTAACAGAAAACTCGAATCATTGACAAAAGGTGGGGGAACACGCTCGCATGTGTTCTACATGTCACCATTGAGGCCTGTCATCATGTACTGAGTTGGGCGTCTAGCTTTGTGTCGGAGAATCATAGTAAGTGTGTATGAATATCGGTCGGCGACTAAGATGCGAGGTGAGGGAGCGACAGTCCACGCATGGCCATCGCCAATCCGAAAGCCCGCATGGCGTTCTTAGTCCGCTGGAGGCCTGTCCTCTCGCAGGGAAGACTGTTCTAGCTTGGGCGAATTAGATGCCTACATACGAAGTGAGGCTGTAGATATCCTTCCTTGACTGGACGGTGAAAAGCGCTTGGTTTCTCTCAGAGCTACTGGGGCTGCTAGTGTGTGATTTGGAATTGTGGAATCTAACCAATGACGACTTTGGTTCGATTCAAGCGAGTCAGCTCTCATTTCTTGGTGGCTTACTACGGAATCAGGTTCCCGCATGTCTATGGCGACATGCATGGATGGCGTATGAGTGTCTTATCCACCCTATAATAACCACGTAGTGGTGATTAGTTGGTCTTGATTAGGGGGATAACATGCGCGGGCGCTGTAGTGTAGGGAAATGTCCAGCCTATTCAGCACATTTTAGTATATTGCAAGGATAAGACATGTGTCCGAAACATTCAAGTTCTACGGAGTTCCCTTCCTCCAACTCATTTCTGCTCCTACTGTAGGAATGTACGAAATGGGCATGGTCAGGTGTCAGCTCAGGCCTTTCGAAGCTGCGCTAACCCCTCTGATCATAGCCTTGCAGGTGTCAAACCCTACGCGGCCTTATCAGTTTCTGCCCACGGCAATAGGTCGACGCGCAGATCTTCTAGGAGGAGCATCTTTGCTTATTTGAACATGCATGAATGATAGGTTCATGTTGAGGGGGAAGAGCTGATTAGGAGATAGACAGTGCAGCTGAAGGTGGGGAGCAGTTGACGTGTTCCATTTTATGCGCAAACTTCAGGCCCGACCCGTTCGCCGATCAAATGGTCCCCGATGGGAATCACCACACAGCAGTTCTCGCGCAGATAAGCAAGACTACGGGCTAGAGCTGCATCCGAAAACCCCTCCCATGAAGATCATCTCCGAAGGAGACCCTAGCGCTGACACCAGTAAGTCCGATCGAGATGGTCATATCAACTACAAAAGCTGCCAAGAGTCTCCGCTCCCAGACTCTTTGGTTTCCATGGCTGAGGTACAATCCAGTCCCACAGTATGTTCAGAATGCCTCCTTGGATCATGACTCTTCTTCTCCTTCCACTTTTTCTAGCAACCAGGGTACAAGCATTCAATACAGTTCACACAAATTGCACACTTCCGCCCGAGCACACCAATTTTGTCACAGCCCCCAATACCCGTGGGACCTTGCAAATCCTGTGGTCTTCCCTTTTCACTATTCTTGCCTGCACTTGGACTGTGCTTCATCTCAATGTTCCTGAATATCAGCCGAAACCAGAAATAAAGAACTTCAAGTGCTGGCTGGGTTGGATGGTGAAGAAGTACCAACATCCGACGAAGTGGTTTCTCTTGACTGTGCTTGCCCCAGAAGTACCTTTCGCCAAATACTGGGATGATCAGGTCCGAGCGCATTCTCTTTTTCATCATTATGAAGAATTTTTCGTGAAGAAGAACTGGACGAGAACTCATGTTTTGTTTGCCAACATGGGAGGATTTGCGCTGCGATACACTGCCAATGACGAGGAGGACAAATCCAGTTCAGAAAACGATGAAGCGAGTACGGAAAACCAAGATAGCAATCCACCCGGCACGGGTTCTTCTGTAGAAGATCAGACATCCCCACAAGAGGGCTCGAGCACATTGAAACAATCGACGTCGGTGTTCAGCAACGAAAAGGCAACCCAGGAAACACAACCTACTCTCACCGAGAATCCTGCAAAGAAATTCGAAGGTGTTTACTATCTGACAGCCACCGATGCTTTTAAACTTCTATGCAGCGCCAAAACATCTATTCCGGGTCTAGCTAATGTATCCGTGGAAGAGATCAACGATCGGTCCAAAACAGACGTCTTCATGCGGCTCCTTGCCGTCGGCCAGATTCTCTGGGTGGTTATTCAGATCATATCGCGAGCAATATATGGCCTATCTGTAACCCAGCTGGAGGTCACCGTTGTGGCCTTTGCGGTATGTGCGGTGGGAATGTATATCGTCAACCAAGGGAAGCCCAAGGGAGTCAATGTTCCGATTCTTTTTGAATACCCTGGGTCGATGAAGAAGCTGGAGAGGGAGCTCGAAAACGCCGAACTTCCTGACGGTGACGGGGGACACAAGAAGTGGAAATTCTACAAATGCAAGTACTGCAGCAGCGAAAATGAAAAGAGCAGAAGCCAGCGCAATATCGACCGCACTAGCGAGGCTGGGAATGAGGTCAATGAGGGCAGTAACAGAAAGGATGAGTCCGAAAATAGTAACAAACTTACCACCTCACAATCCGACTCCAACATCCAGGGTCCTGAGACAAATACTAAAAGCGGCTTGGAAAAGCTTACTACGACTATACAAGCGGTGCGGATCTTGCTTGGATCCAAGTTGGAACCAGGAGATTCAATAGGCAACGGATTCATAATAGAGTCCGATGACTCTAGCGATATGTTCACCGACATGGCCATGTTTATCGGCAGTATGGTCTTCGGAGGCATTCATCTTATTGCCTGGGACTTTCAGTTCCCCACCATGGTGGAAAAATACCTCTGGTGGGCGGCCGCATTGTGGTGCACCGCTTGTGTTGTGGCGTGTACATTGCTCGTTCTTACGCTTTTCGGACTGGATGACATCGAAGAAGCCTTGACAAGGTTCCTACATAGATTCGACCGCTCTGCACCTGGGGATACCAAGTCTGAAGACCCGGTTGACGGTGAACCCGGCCCCAGCTCAGAGAAAACCCCTAACCAGGAGTCCGAGAGATCAACATCCCCACCTTTGAATGCAAATGAAGACGTAGAACACCAAGCCCCACGATCACACTGCCAGAAATCGATACGTGAGAAAGCAATTTTTGTATTAAGGCGCTTCTTTCACTTCCTGCGACCTCTGGTAAATGCGCTTTTCTACTTTGTTGCAATCTTGTTAATCCCATGCGCGATTGCTTATATTGTGGCGCGGTTATTTATTGTTATTGAAATGTTGAGGACATTGGCCTTTCTTCCACCAGATGCTTGTGTTGCTACTTGGTCGTCGGAAATTCCTAGTATCGGTTAAGTCTTTAAACTCGGGTTGAGGTCATTCTAACATCATTAGGTGCTCTATTTTTTCATAATAGCAAGACATCTAACTGTAAAGACAAGGAGTACTATTCTCCACCCTTCGTCAATGAACGTACTCCAACGTTTTCTAAAAGAGCCTTTATAGTGCTTGGTAAGCTAAATTTGTCTATTCATACAGTAGTTGAGTAGAACAGTGGAGTGAATGTAAGGGCCCGATTGAGCTAGACTACAAGTATCACTCGACACCAAACGCCGCTAGCTTGTCTGGCTACACAGAACCAAGCACTAGGCTCAGCAGACATATCTAGATCGAGGGATCCCCTTGTCTGTTTCTTCCAGAATACCAGCAACGTCTCCATTAACTTCTCATTACCATAATTTGGTGAGCATTTTCGGTCGCGACGCCGGTTCTCCCACACCAGGTAGAAGCGAGCCACACCAACAGTATAATTCCCACAGCATAGCATATCATAATTGCGAGGAAACCGGTGGTGTAGGTAGGGGCTTGGCTTTCAAAGAATAGCTGCGATCCGACGATATTTCCAACACGAAAACTGATCAAAATCTAGACTTTACAGTCAGCATCTACTGGGTCCAAGTCTACTTCCATCGGTGGCAGTCATAACAGGGGGTTACAACACACAGCTGTGCTCACTGTCATCTTCTTGGTAAACCCCGCAACATTGCCCGATGACAAGGATATCGTTAGAGGGAAGTTGGCAGCAGCGGCTGTCATGAGCAATTTGCCGACGAATTGACCTCTCATTAGATGAGCTGCGAGCTCACGTCAGCGCCGTGCCGATAGCGGAGAGACACATTTTCCACATCATCCAATACATTCAATTGATGGTAAAATATACGCTGCCACCGATAGAGATAAGAAAAGCGATAAGCATCTAATTCGAAATCTTCATTTGGCTCTATCATATCAGCCCTCTATGTGCATCTAGTCATAAATTCGTATATACAGAGTCATCAATCCAAATTCTATATCACATCACGCCAGCATAATGTACAAGTCAGGGCATCCAGCCTTAGACATCAAACCTAACTGCGAACCTTATCGTCTCCTTAGGGTGCAGCATCCTCCTTACTAACCCGATGGCCCTGGTTAGCCTTCCGATCCGACGCCAGCGTCTGGGCAAACTTGCTCCGCTCGCGAATCTGCGGCCCCTTCCAGTAGAAGATGTAAATCGGAAGCACCACCAAGCAAGAAAGGCAAGCAAGGATAGTGGTGGCATACTCAACATGCCACTTGTCTCCGATATTCTCATACATCGGAGTGGTATACATAGCCGCAATACCTGCCAACAGATCTCGACAGAAGGCGTTTCCGCCCGTGGCAGAAGCAGAGTACACACCGTATGCAGCGACCATGTAATCAACCGAGGAAAGATAGATAGCGTAGTTGGCGATACCGACAAGGGTAGAGAAGATCATGGATGCAATCCATGGGACACCGTACTCTTGACCGAGAGACGTCCACGCGAAACCGAACAATCCTATCGGTTCAAGCAAGGCTAGATAAAGAAGCCACTTGAGTCTCCGCTCAGCAGGTAGTGCATCGTCTCCCTTCGCGTCGCGAATTTTCTGGTCCCGCCAGAACCATGGGAAGTATGAGAAATAGGCAATCACGTAGCCGATGTTGATTGGGATAACCGCCCACGCTTGGCCGAGGATACCGAAGCCCCAGCCCTTCTCGTACACAATGGAGAAACTTTCGAGGAAGGTGAAGATGAGGGAGTCGGAGAAGCCGGAGAGGAGGGAGAGGCATAGGACGATAGGTTCGCGGAGGAACATGTAGAAGGGACGGATCCAGATCTTTCCGGCTTCTTTGAGGGAAATGCGAGGGTTTTTGAGCTCGTTGGGTCCGTAGATGTTGGGGTCTTCGCCGGATTCGCGGCGGCGCTTGGCTTCGCGGTCCATGATGATTGTCGAGCGGCTTTCGGGAACGAAGAGAAGGATTACCTCGACAGTGAAGCCGAAGATGAGCATGATCCAGAAGAACCATTGCCAGTCGAGGTCTGTTGGATGCATAGTCAGTGGTTTATGAATTATAAATGGTCAATCTTTTGGAAGGTGAGGGTACGTACAGCGCTCGATTGGTCCACCTATCACTCCTCCGATACTTGTTCCAATACAGGATGATAAGACAATAAATGCCAGAGGAAACTGTTGGTCTTCGGCTTCGTAGAGATCGGCGATAAGACCCAGGGTGACACTACCACCAGCGGTCGAGATTCCACCCTACAGACTATGTTAGCATGACATAGTGCACATTCCAGACGCAGGGAACTGACCAATCCACGAGCAACAACAATGGTGCCCCAATTTGGCGCCAAGGCAGCTGGAATTTGCCATATATTGATAAGAAACATGGATAGCTGGAGGATAGGCCAGCGACCAAATTCTTCACTCCAAGGCGCCCATAATTCACACCCAATGGAATAGGTGATGAGGTAAATCATCTGCCCCGTTCGGGCCTCCTGCTCACCGATATTGAATGCCTCTGACAATGGCTTCACGGCATTGGGAAAAACAGAGGTGTTGAAGTTCATGGATACTTGGACGCACGCTATAGCCGCAAGATACGACCATTTCTTCCATCTCGGCCAGCAGTAAGCCAGCTTATCGTAGCAGTCGTTCTCCTTCAACTCGCGTTTACCGTCTGAGCGTATGGATCCCGCCTTGCTCTCGGCTCCAGTGAGCCCAAATGCGGGGACCATATCATCCCCGCTATCCTGGCTGTCTATTCCCTTATCGGAAAAGGAACTTCGAGATGACTGGGACTGGGGTTGCTGTTCGCGGGGATACATAGTGTGATGTCATTGAATGATACTATCACACAGGAACAGGTAAAGATAAGAAGAACTATACCTCTCTTAGAGTGGTCTGACACGGCTGGATACCCTGCCGGTCGTCTGATAGATATACCATCCGGCCTCAATCATCCATTCTAGATGTTGTCATACTGGAGCAGTTCATTTCCAAACCGGATTTGTGACTTTGGGGTTGCAGTGGGGCGGGCCGGGCAGATCCACTCGGTGGATCATCGCCGGGGAGAAGTTCATACGCGCCCAATCAGGGCATCGGCACTCGACTCAGAATGCGCCCTCGGGCTCGCTTTTGATTTGTCTCGATGGCTTCCGGAGGTCCGGCTGCTCCATACCGATGCACCTAACTCGGAGTAACACACTCCCCGATGTCCACCGTAAGCAGCAGAGCATCCGGTATGATATCATCGTTGTGGTGCTGCATTGCAAAGAAATGCAGCTTCGCCACACATCCATTGTTTTCTTCCTCGTGCATACACCACTCACATTCAACCTGTTGCCTAGCAGATTATCGTCGAACCTCGGTCTCTCGGGACACATAAGAGAGCAGCAGCATTGAAATGACGTGTTCTATTAATGTGGTTAAAATTTCTCCAGGTACCATGCATAATGACGCTCCTTGCATCCCCTTCTGTCTGATAAGGTTCTTTCGGATAAATTTTCCTTCATGTGCTGTTGTCGGTGGTGCTCATTCAATCAGTGGCTTATACATTCAACTGCATCTCAACCTGAAATGACGTCATAGTGCCTGTGCATTCTATGAGTGACAGACACTACAACATCCAGTCTTTTTGAACATTACTAAGAACAACAACACATGTCGTTCATTACTCGAACTGCTGATATTCTGATTTGACAATATCATGCTAAACGACGAGTCACCCATGACTAATGTGACGAAAACCACTCTCGGTGAAAAGTCAAGGATGCCTTTGTGGGAGATGACCATTCGTTTTAGGGGAGCGATAATCTTGAATAATCTTGAAAGAATGAACCGACATTCCCACATACAGAACAATTAAGCAAGTGCCAATAATTCTTCATGGTTCTATTCTCAGAAAGTCGGCTTCGAAAGGATGGTTCACAAATGCCAACAACTATTTCTGCTACCTTCAACATTAGAACAAGCTGTCACACCAGCTAGACCTTCTCCGCGCCATTTTCCTCGCAATAATGACTCTCATTAGAGGTCTAGTTAGCAGCCATCGAAGCACTCAAGCTCAGCCCCTCACAGTGCTCTTGACTTTAATTGACTATGGTTTTCTAGGAAGCTTATGAATGACAAAATCTACCTGGATACTTTCGATATCCTCTTGAATTTCAGGTCCCAAACACAAGGAATCAATAATGACATCGTCAAACATTACCATACTTCAATTTACAAACGTAGCAGAGGAATTAATAAGGATGGAGTTTATCCCTTACAAGAAGCATCATTTTCATTACAGCATAATACATTCATGGTCAAGGTCCAACACAAGCTATATACCAGTAGTAGTGTATGTTAATAGTTAAGTTCAGACCTGCCAGACAACCTGAGTCTTCTTACTAAGCTTAGAGCCAGGGAGCATCGGCAATGGGAAATGTGCATGGAAAGGTTATTCAGTATGACTAATCTTCAATGGGTTCTGCATTCCTCCTAATGCAATCATGATACGGTTGGCAAAGGGCGAAAGCAATTATCGCATCCATTCTGGACTCCAATGCGGGACGTCGTTGTATCGAAACCCCCTTCAGTCCGTGTGCTAAGTACACGCCGATTCCGCCCCTCTTCAAGATAGAATTAAACTCACTTTAGACGCACTGAACGAAGTTAAACACCGTGAAGTCGAACCCCTCGAGAATCCATTTTTAACACCAATCAAGTCCCTTTCCCCTTCCGATATCGCTTCTTCTTGGCTTGAGAATAGTAATTTTACTACTAGCTCTTTTATATCTTGGAAGTCACCGGCTCTAAGCGGCATTAAGCGGGTTTACGCAGCCTCAACCCCACTGACCGGCTATAGATAAGCCTACTAATCCACGCGTCAGCTAGTTCCATTATGGACATTTGTCCGAGCATAAGCACATATATAAAGGCCTGGCCCTTCCAGTAAGCCAAATTCCAGTAAGCCAAACCCATTACACGTTTGTAGCACTAAATAAAAGCTCTCCTGGAAGAAAACAACTCAATACCATCATGAAACTCTACGACTCTCCCGCCCCCAACCCCATGGCCGTCCGGCTGTTCATCCTCGAACGTGGCGGTCTCCAACTCGACGTCGAAGTCGTTGACACTAAGACTCTTCAGAACCGACGCCTTCCTTATCGCGCTATTAACCCTCGTGGAGAAGTTCCGGCCCTCCAACTCGATGACGGCACTATTCTGACTGAGATTACGGCCCTTTACGAGTATCTGGACGAGATCGCCGTTGGAGGCACCTCGCTGTTCGGAAATACGCCGGAACAGCGTGCCGAGACCCGCATGTGGATGAGAAGAATGGACCTGGAGATTTGTCAACTGGCTATTGCTTGGTTCAGGAATGATCCTGCTACTATTGATCTCTACAAAGGCCATCGGATTCCAACGCCCGAGGCGAGGGTGAATCAAAAAGTCATGATTAATCGAGCTTTGAATATGCTGGATGATCATTTGGAGGGGAAGACTTGGCTATGTGGGGATAGATTCTCTGCTGCTGATGTTCACTTGTATGGATTGTTGAAGATGATGACCATGAAGGCGTGTGGGTGGGTGCTGTTGCCAGGACGAGAGAACTTTCTGGCATATTGGAACAGAATGGATGAGCGAGAGGCTTCAAAGAAGGCCTTGCAGACCTTCTCAGCCAGGGTTGAAGTGTGATGCACATACTGGATCTTTAAGGTGAGTTTATGGAGGATTATATCATTGATGCTTCGCAGCCATGCTACAGAACTTGTGGCGTCATATTGTTTTGCAAATGGCTCCTGAGCCTATATAGACTAGACTTTTAGACGTTTTACAGTCTCCTTCGGCGGGAACAAGCTGCTTTCTTCCTGTCATTGTCAGTGAAAATTCATGTTATGTCGAGGCACTGGAGAAGGTCCTTGTGTTTTGGGAAACTCATATATATTTTCCTCTTCCAATGTTCATAAAAGAGCATAGTCGTTCCTCCTCCATGCGTGAAGTGGTTACTTCATCTCACTTACTCAGGTCATGTCGAAGCGGCCAACGTTAGCATCGTCGAAAAAAAAAAAAAAAAAAAAAAAAAAAAAAAAAAAAAAAAAAAAAAAAAAAAAAAAAAAAAAAGAAAAAAAAAAAAAAAAAAAAAAAAAAAAAAAAAAAAAAAAAAAAAAAAAAAAAAAAAAACACGAAAAACGATCCCTGAGGAACCAAAAGCGACCAAAGGTCGTCGAACACCAGAAGGGTGAATAATTCTTGGATAATCTATGACAGTATCAACACCCACAGAGCTCCCTTTGAATGGTGCGTTCCACCGTGCGCAATAGCGTGATTAATGTCGAGTGCCGAATTTTCCCTAATATTTGACTCTCGCGCGGTGCGGAAATAGTATCCGTACCTTAGCCCGACCTCAAGATCTCTTGTCTCACCATATCTCCCCCGGTTCCCAATCTACAACAAGTTGAGAATATTATCAATGATTATGACTGGTAGTAAGCAGGTCCCTTCCTAGCCGAAATTAAAGAACCAATACGTATGACCGAACCGCCTAGCGACCCATTCACCTGCTTAACTACCAGCCGCGCAACATTCGGCGCTTGAGCTCGGTAGGCTTTTGGCATGACATTTTCACAACAAAATCAGCTTTTTTATGGAACGCAACTTCACTAGAGGATTTTCCAAGGCAATCTGCACAACCGTACAGGCAGTGCGATTGACAATACGTTAATACGGTTATTGCAGCCAACTCCCAAGGCGCTCAAGTCCGAGTCGAACCGAGAGTTTGAGTTTGAGACAGCAATCTCGATAGGCCAATTCTCCACATCTCCACGTTCTCACCGTCGGCTGTGGTTTCGACTTGCCAAATGAGAGTGACTATGACCATAATGACGATTATTCTCACCGGGTGCTTCGGCGTTGACATAATAGAATCCATGGCTTTGTCTTACCGTCTAATCCTGGCCCCCACATCATCAAAATGAAGGGTCACAACCTCGACTTCACCTGTGGTTGTCCCTCGTTGTGGGATAATCGTACCATACTAAGCTTGAACAAGCTTCAGCCACTATAGCGCTGAAGACATATATGGCTCTTCTAAGTGGCCGGCAGGGGGCAAGGTGAGCCCACTGTACCCGCTTCCTTTACATTTTTGGCCCCTTTTGGCCCCTTTGGCCCCCAACATCCTCGCTAAGCCTTGCCGATACCCCATACAACCTGAGCGCCATGTCCTATCCTGCAGCAGCAGTCAAGGTCGGCTGCACCATGGGATTATGAAGAAATGTCTATAAATTGCGACACAATCTCTGTATTCCCTCAGGATTTGCTGTCTACAGTCTTCCAAGAAACCTTTCATTCCAAACCAATATACTACAACTTCCCTTACTTGTTCAAACCCACAACAAGATACACAAGCAACAATGAAGACAACCCAGCTCATCCCTTCCATCCTCCTTTCCCTCATCCCCACCCTCACCCTCGCCGATGGGGTCCCCGATGGCGCCAAGCTCTGCGTAGGCCAAGGTGCCGGCAGCTGCCAATTCGCTGCATACCAGCTCCAGCCTACAGACACGTGCGAAGACCTTCAAAAGAATGCCGCCTATATCTACGACCACGAATGCAATCTTATCGGCCACACGGAGAATTTCGTTGAGGGAGACGCCATCGACTCGCAGCTGCCGTATACTGTCGATATTAAGAACATTGTTGGCGGTCCCTCTTGTTCGATCAAGTACGAGATTGCTTATAGTGATGGGTTGTACGGGTATGGAATGCCCTCTGGTGGCGTTTGGGGTAGCTGTACAGAGTCAGGCCATCAGTGCAACTGGTACCGGGTGGCATTCGATTGCCCTGGGTTCTAGAGGAAGTTGGGTTTGATATTGTGGGGTGGGATGGAATCAAACTGCCTAATATGGACCGGTCAATTTCCTTGTGCAATCATGTATATACTATCAAGGCTTTATAAGTAATTGTGAGAGCCTCAAACTACTGCTGATACCAGCCGTCGGCTAAAGTTATCTTTCGTCAATGTTCGCCGGAAGATGTTACAATGGACCGTTTTCATACCTAATCGATTCCCTGATATTTTTCACAAACTTTGAAATATCTTTCCGATTTGACACCTCCAAGTAACGACTCTATGGTGTCTTATTTCTTTTCAGATAACTGATTTTTTAATCATAGTGTCAGGTAAAAATATCACATGACCGTGAAATAAGCACGTGCTGGTTTCCCCTCTCATATTCCATTCAGCCTCCTCCTTATCTTAATATCACCTCCATCCATCGACTCCTGCTCTTTTCATTATGTGGGAGCCGGTAGCTCTCCCCTTCCAGAGCTCCCACCATTTGCCTACTCCGCTACCTACAATAAACGAAATTCGCGCATGCACCAATGTTCTGTGGGAGGCCAGGGGCTCTAAGGTTGTGGCAGTGAACAACAATATCGTGGTGAAATATGGAGTTCGTGTGGAAACCTGGGAAGGCCAGGCTTTAATCTATCTTGAACAATGTGTTCCAGAAGTTCTGGCGCCTCGCTTATATGCGATGCACTGCGAGTCTGATGAGCGTTTTCTAGTCATGCAACGCATTCATGGAGTACCGCTGAATTCCCTTTGGTCATCATTGGCGCCTTCTGAGAAGGACGATATTATCACTAAACTCCAGCAAGTATTCGATGCCATGAGAAAAGCTGAATGTCCATGGCCTGACTTCTTTGGAGGCTTGGATGGGGGTCCTCTACCTCACTACCTATTCTATAGCCAACGTGGCGATGATCATGAGGGATTTCTCGGGCCCTTTTCCAATGAATCTGCCTTCGTTACGGGCCTTGTCGAGAACTATAGAGCCCTAATTGAAAAAAAACAAACATCCAGACTATAAAGCTCGCTTTTATGAGAAATATCTCCCTCGTGTTCTTCAAGGACACCGGCCCACACTGACGCATGGGGACATCCAGCAGAAAAACATCCTGGTTGTGGAAAACTGCCAAAATAATCAAGATAGACGATCATTCGACATTGTACTTGTTGACTGGGAGAATGCTGGATGGTTTCCTGACTTCTGGGAAGGCTTTTGTGCATCTTGTCCTCTACATTTTTGCTGGGATGAAGACTGGTCCTGGCGAGTCCAGGAGTTTATCCAATTCTGGCCCGCTGAGATGTCCATGATGCACCTGATTGAGAGGGATTTGGGCTGGTGATGTCGCCAGTGACATGCTATAGCGCTCCTTTGGCAGCATTCAGGCTTGCTTCAACGAAGATATCTGTGTGGTATCGCTTGGGAGGGCGACTGTGTCGAAGTCTGGCGTATAGACTTTGCACCGTCTTCCCCTCTGGGCGTGGGGAGGCGTTCTTCTAGGTGTCGCCCTGGGTGCTGCTTTGAGTGTTGCTTTGAAAAAGAAGAGAAGGCTTCTCAACATCCGTAGAGTCTCTTTATCTGGTATGAACCCAGCCTAGAAAAGAGCGGCGTAATAGCCACACAGGCAATTGAATCCGGCCATAGTCCGCAGTCACTCGCATTACCCCTGATGCAGAAGGAATGTCTTATCGCAATGGCTGTTCGAAGAATAGTAAATTGTGCCCGGGAAACACTCGAATAATCTTACTAATGTTCCATTCAGTGTGATAGGTCCATACTATGCCATATTCCGCGGTGCCCTTCCCAATAAGCCAGCGACGTGCGCATAATACGTTCATCTATTTCTAACTCCTCATCTAGATGCAATATTCAATCTTCTTTAGAGTACTTGTATTTCTGGCAGAAGAACTACCTTAGTATCTCATCTATTGTGGTGTATAATAACAGTTCTCTGCGGGAGTGTTAACAATTAACTTTGCTGTAAGCCCTCGCTTCCTTTCCATACTTCATTTAGTGTCTCCTTCCTGTTCCGAAAATAATCACAGTGTGTTCGAGCAAAGTTCCGGGAATAATGACCGACAGCCATAGTTCTCAGGATCAGCTACCTCAACTATCGGCATGGTACAATCGTGATGTTCCCAAGCCCGACACGAGTTTAAGCGAGCTCAATCCCCAATTTCACCAATATTGACTCGGCATTGTCTTCAATACATAGATCAGACACCCCAAAACTTGTACAAAAACAAATAATTACAACAAATAAAAAGGGGGGAAAAGAAGAATACATACAACAGAAGGGATTCGCTGGTGGTCACCCACCCAACTACTAACCTCCCGGCGTGTGGCTTAAGTACGGCTGAGCGGACGGGAAGCCCTGTTTTCCACACCCTGTGGTCGTATGTACTAGCCTTTTCTTTCCAACAAATTATATGGTGCACAAATTCTCGCTTAATATCGAAAAAGGAATGGTTCATTCCAAAGCCTTTGTGGGGCGCCAGGTCCTTAGACCTTAGGGACTTGGTACCACGTGATCGATATATCGACCTCTCCGGAAGAGACTCACATTACGTCAGCCACTATAGGATTCCGGATCATCAACGGCTTGTTGGTTTGATTTTTGTATGTTGGGTCTGTGGATTCAGTTTGAGTGTTGCTATATATGCAGTACCTGTGCAGGCGTGCCTTGAATAGTAGTATGGGCGTACTAGTAATACTACTGCTAGTTGCAGTTGGCTCAGGAGATTCAGCCGGTCGAGCCCAGGCAATGTTCAATGGGAGGGTAGGGTAGGATTATATATATAACGGTGCAGCAGGATGCATGGCTGCTGATGACAATAGTAATAATGCTGTGATAATAGCACGGGAAAAACGAAATGATATAAAATAAAGCTTCCTTCGGTCGAGAAATAATTCCAGATAGTAGTAGGTGTGGATGTATTCACTCTGCACAATCTAATAAATGACTAAGTACTAGTACGAACCCCCTCACGTGCTATATTGATCACATAGCTGGAACATTAAAGTAAAGTCACATTCCAATCCGGTATCTGCTAATCTGTCTGTGTATACGTATATACTGGTATCTATTTTACTCCTCAGAGGGCTTAATATCATACTCCACGTCCGTCCGAATAATATACTTCGCTCCCTTCCGTACCCCGGTTCCCTCATGCAACAGCGCCCCATTCGCCTCTCCATGTGGGAAAATGGCAACAGCACCCATGACGGGACGCACGGGGTATGCATTCAGCGTGCCTTCCCTGGCAGCCGGCATAAAGAACGTCGTCTCACCGCCCTCGAACTCATCATTCAGGTAGAGTAAGAAGGTATACATGGAGCTCTGTTTGTTCCCCTCAGGCGAGGCATCATACACGTATGTATCATCGGGAAGGATACCCGACGGCGGCCAGGCGCCGTCAATGTGGCATCGGTATTCCGCACCAGGAACGTATCGGTATACCCGGAAACGACGGTTGATGCCTCGCACAAGACGGCCGTTGATCGATTGGGGCACGTACTTGGATATACGAGCCCAGAGCATGTCGTGGAATGTGGTGTCGATCACCCAGTAGAAGTTGTGGGCGAGAATGCTCATGTCGCCGTCTTCACGGAGGGGGACGTCGGGCAGGAAGTTGACGGATTCACCGGCAGCAATGATGGCCTTGCATTCAGACGGGGTGAGGACGTTCAAGGCCAGTCCGAGGCCCGGGACCGCGGGGTGGGGGTGGTATGTTATCGATGGGCTAACGGGGTCCAGCGGGATGGCGTTGGGAAGGGTAGTGTAGAGGATAGCGGGATGGTGGTTCGGAGGTTTGCGGAGAGGGCCAGGAGTCGTCTCGATAATGCGGAGAGCGGCAGGGTCTTTCGGGGCTTCGTTCAGGATCGATTTATCGAGGACGGAGGCATATACTGGAAGGGGTGTGGTATTGGGACGGAGGTCCCAGATGGACTGGAAGGCGATGGGATCCGTCGAGTCGACTGCATTCGATCTGAGATCAATGGGAGTGCTGACACGTAGGATGGCATCAAGAACGCCGAGCAGTTCCAGGTCCTGAGGGGTGCGCTCGAGGGAGGCCTTCGCGAGGGCTTCGGGTTGGGTGGAGAGGCCGCTGACGACGTCGAGATCTCGTACCCAGCGACACAAGGCTCCGATCTTGGGTTGTTCACCCCGGATTCTCATCTCAGCAAGTAGGATCTTTGCTTCCAGGTATCGTTTATCGGCCAGGGCACCGGTAATTCGTGCGGTCAGGTTCGCGCCCTCTACCGAACGATTAATCGCCACTATTAATTAGAGACAGTGCAATAGCAGCATACCGGCATTGTTCACGCCCGTAGTACAGGCCTGGCGGAACTCATAGACCGCCACCCGGAGGTCCTTGCATGCTTTTGACTTGGTCAGACTGGGATACTGAGTCAAGGTTGTGAGCGTCTCAATGGTGATTTCGAGGTCCTCGTCGGGGACGACGGTGCTGAGGTTTTTCGGCTCTCGACTGGCGCCATCGGGAGGGGGCGTAAGGATCGTGGAAGCAGCCTTTGGGATCTTTTGCGGGAGATCGGCTTGGGCGTTGCGCTTGCGCTTGGCAGCTTTCGACTTGGCCATCGTTATCGGTGATGCTGATGGCCAGTTGGGGCGACAATGGCTACTGATAACTGACGGATAACCGGTGGGGATGGGGATTTCCCACAACCATTTTTGCGGCAGTCGAGAACCGATTATTAAGCCTGACCGACCCGCCGTGGATTCTGGCACTGGCTCTACTAGGGAAATGACATGCAGGAAGTGGGCAATCCAGCAAGAATTACATTGTTACGTCCAGGGATTTTGAAGACAGCCAGAGGGGATAGGCTACTGTGAAGAACAAGGGGCAGCACTGCTCTACAGTCGCAAGTGCAATGGCTTCAGAACTGGGGTTGATTCGGAAGTGCTGGCTGGCGAACAGGTCCGGACGACAACCTTCTATCCCAATATCTATTCCCGAGATAGAGAAAGCACCGTGCTCTGCTGCTCCGTCCGGAGATATAAGTAGTCCCCGGAAACGGTCGCAGCAGCCAGTCCGCCGGATCGAACACGCAAATCTCTGGGGGGTGCCGAATTGAAGTAGGTAGAGGAAATTGAATTTTTCGTTTTTCATTCATCAGAATACATCATGTTTTATAGATATATCCCGACTGTAGGCAAGATCCCATATTGTTCGCGTCTTCCGGAACTCCCGCGTTATCACTGCCATTTGCCAGATATGAACTAAACCTCACAAAAATCCCCCGATTTAAGCGGACTTGGCCTTGACGGCCTCACGACCCTTGCCAACACGCTCAAGGATGGCCTCACGGTCCTTGTCGAGGTGGAGCTTCTTGATGACGACCTTGGAGGGGTGGAGGGGGATGGGGACGCTCTGGCCGTTGCTCTTGTCGCGGCTGATGCGCTCGACGTGGATGGCCCACTTCAGGCGGTAGACGCTGGTGACCTTGCCCTCACGGCCCTTGTTGCTGCCACGGACGACCATGACCTTGTTCTCAGTTTAGCGAGTGGGTTAGATGTCGGGTTAGAATCAGCCTTGGCTCACCTCGTCGTCCTTGCGGATGGGCATGGAGCGGACCTATCAAACGACTGCGTTAGAACCATTTCTCCCAGCATTGTTTCGTTGTGCCTGATATCTCGGATTGGATGTTTGTCGATTGGATCTGGTTCTTGCATCTGCCTCCCAAATCCCAATCTCGCTGGCCTGATCCAGCCTGTCCCCGACCGGAAAGAAAGAAATCATGCCAAATCCATCTCCAAACACACACACATCCCAGGGGCTGCAAAAACAAGAATCACATCGGTCTGATCGAACGTACATTGTACTTGGCGCGGAGCTCGCTCGAGAGAGGAGCAGAGAGGATAACGCGGCGCTCGCTGGAGGGGGCGTTGAAGTGGGCGGCGCGCGACTTGCGGCGAGAAGAGGCGAGACCTGAAATCATCACGAAGTCAAATTAGTATGGATTGGATTGGCGACTTCGAGAAAAATCGACAGAACAGGACGACGCACTGGAGTTCCTGACAGCCATTGTGAATATGCCACCTAAAGGTCGTGGGAGAACTCGGACGGGTGTCGTGAGGGTCGTCGGAAAGGTCGTCAGGAAGAGTCTTACTGCTTTGCTGGATCTGTTTCGTTTGTGGCCGAAAATTCGGGCTGTGCGTCACATGACCCCCCGCTTCGCCTAGCGGCCAGGTCCGTCGTTGTGATTGGCTGTCGTGGGTTTCCGCCCGCAGCCATTCTCGATGCTGACTGGAGCCCGGCTCGATGCTCCTTAATTCCTAAATGATTTGAGGGTATTGTAGGTTACTTAACTTACTGATACTGTAGAACTAAGAATAGCCACATCTGTACCGACACTGGACATGAATCATGATATCTTGAATTTCTAGTGGGGTGTTATCGCTGTTGATGATTATATGACCCTCTGAAAACATTGTATTGCATACTATATGTTTCTGTATCCTCTCTTTGCACTTATGCAGGGGCGTTTAGAGGTGCTCCCCGCGGGAGAAAACTGGCTATTACTCCCTACCCGATTAGGACAGGTAATAGGGCTGCCCCGGAGTTTGTATACCTACCACAAGGTTCTTTTCTCCAAATCAATGTTAGTCAATGGAGAAATTTCTCTGGGATGTATCTTTGAGAATGTAGTGGTAACTTGGGTTTGTTTTCCAGCTAAAAATGTGGAATTAGTAATAATTTATGGTCGATATCCTGATCTTGAGGCACCTGACCGTGGAACTATATATAATGGGTCCTACTATACAAACTGACCCTGATCACTCACTCCTGAATCCACTGGCGCTTTCATGCCAATTCATCAATTTCATCACTATTGTCCATAAAAAGGTGTGCCCTAGCGATATTAGCATACTATTCATTCTCTTTTTAAGAAAAGACATGCACTGTCAAGTTTGTACATACGAGTACGAAAGCGGTTAGTAGTGGCTATCGTTATCGGAGCCGTGACTGCCGCGCCTTATCGACCACAAGATTTTCTACATGTTCAGAATCATCGTCGCCACTAAGCAAGTACATTAGCACGCTGAACTGGTCAAGAAACAACATTATTATTACTACTAGCACTATTATCATATACCATAAGAACAAGCTAAACGCTAAAGCAAACCCGAAACTCGACGAGAATTCCGATCGCTCAAACACAACCACCAATCTACTTCGCCGTAAACCGACTCCTCGCCCTCAGCGCCGCCCCAAAGTGATACAGCGCAAACATCCCCGCAATACAACCCACCGTCAACCCCGCCAGCAGACTAATCCCAGGCCCGACCCCCAGATTCACATACAGGGGACGCGCAAACAGCACCGCACCACAAGCCAGCGCACTCCGCATGAGATCATTCCCTGCAAACAGGCTCGCCGCGTACTGTGGGTACGTCATGGGGATGTAGATGAAGATGCACTGGATGACCACGTAGATGCCAATAGTATAGATCAAGATTCCAATTACTGAGACTATCCAGTGCACTGAGGTGCGGGAGGTCCATCCGAAGAGGAAGAGCCCGATCGGAGGCAGGAAACAGGCGAAGAGGGCGGGGATGAGGCGTCGCTCGGGGGACTGCAGACCCCGGGTTCGGATCTCGGGCTCGAAGACTTTATTCAGGTAGATAAAGTAGGCGGGGACGGCTATGGCGAGGGCCACTGCAATGCTGAGGAAGACGAGACCCATTTGGCCGAGGTTGAAGTGGTACATGTCGATGTAGACGATGGGAAAGACTTCAAAGAACGAGTAGTAGATGCCGTAGATGAGACTGGTGTAGATGTTGACGAAGAGAATGGCAGGGTCGAGGACCACAATCTGGAGGGGCCGGTAGAGTGCTTCCATGGCCACTGCGGTGAAGGTGAGCTTCTTCTGGTTGATTTCTGACTGGGAGAGGAGTTTGTCGTTGCCAGTCAGTCGACGGAGGCGTCGTGCGCGTTGGAGGAGGATGGAGTCTGGGAAGGTTTCGGGGAGGAAGAAGAACATGACAACCAGGATAGGGGAAGACATCCAGACTGTCTCCCACAGTGACCAGCGCCAGCCCTCGACGGGGACACTGAAGCCCGAGATGACGGGTCCCAGGGCTGGGCCCAAAGTGGCAAAGGCAGCCCATGCGGAGAGACCGTAAGGTAGCTTCAGGAGACTGAATACATCGCCGATGCTGGCACCGCCTGTTGCGAGGCATGGACTGCCGAAGAAGCCCTGGAGAAACCGGAGGACGAGGAGACCTCCGAATGTGTTGACGACTGCAGCACCAATGCTGAACAGGATAAAGAGAAGAAAGGTGATGATGTATGGCGGGTTACGTCCGACGCTGGGGATCTCGCTAAGTGGGGAGAAGATCATGGGGCCGATGCCGTACCCAAGGACATACAAAGCCAGGCCCAACGATGCAGCTGTCGAGGAGACCCCGAAGCGTTCTTGAATCTGAGGTGCGCTGGGAGTGTAGATGGACGAGCCCATATAGACGACTAAGGTGTAGAGATAGATCTGGGAGACAACGGCTAACTTCTTGCCGATAGACCAGTTTTGGGGATTCTCTGGATCGCGCGTAGTATACCAGTCGACTAGGATTGTACCATCAGCAGTTTTGGTGGGTGCGATGGGTCGGCTAGGAGCCTTCTGCAGTGTCTCTGTCTGTGTGGCAGCCGTATAGATACGTGCCAGGTCCGATTGGGTCTGGACCTTTTCCACGTCCGCCATTGAAGGCACGCGGGACAATTCGGATGCGCCCAATGTTTCTCCATCTCGAGTTTCGGATCGAGAGACATTGTCTGTCGCATCTTCGCGTTGTTCACCCTCCGGGTCGGATTCGGGCTTCGGGGTCTGCTCGCCATCTGCTTCATGTGCGAATAGTGTCGGGGAGGCGGCTTTGTCGGCGTAGCAATGAGGGCATTGGAAATCCGGACGTTCCTCAGGGTGCAGTAGAACTTTATTCCTGGTGATCCAGCGCAGCAGCTGGCCGGCTGTGCTATTGCGGATGAGGCCTTCCATTGGTCAGAAGACTGTACTTTTCTTTTCCTCCTTAGTAGATGGAGAAATTGAGGAGCTTGATTGAATTGAGACTGCGTATTTCATGAGCGCCATCTTCGCAGATTTATACTGATCACGACGCTATACTAGTAAATCTATTCGAATTATTCAGCGCACAGACAAAGGCACCATTCTGCTTCCATGGACGAACGAAGCGGCCATTACTCAGCAACCAGCTGTCGTGCTGCATTGGTGGTGGTTGCGATAAGATTTCGATGATTACTGATCAGCAACGAAGCCACGCCATCATCGACGACTCCAGATACGAGAAGATGCAACATGAGCTGTGCTCGTGTTTTCCATCGCATTCGGTTGGCTGGCTTGGTAAGCGTCCCATAGAGTTTTAGTAGTCCATGGAAAATCGCGTCAGCCCTAGTAGCGTGGAAAGAATACACTGGCAATTTGACTCAATGCCTGACAATCAGATGTCGACATTGAACCAAGCGCAGAAAATGATCTGTGCAGATCTCGGGCATTATTAATGACCTGTCAGATTAGATATCGCAAGAACACCACGAAGCAAAAGCTTAGGATTTTGCCATGTCAATACGCACACTGCGGGTGGGGAGCCTCCCATCTCCGCTGGACTACTCAGAGTACTTAGCTCTCCGAAATAATCCCCACACTGCGCATGGGGACTTTGAGGCTCATCTCCCAGTATCTACTGAGCAAGATTGACTTGGCTGATTGCATCGTGCAGACCAACGTGTCGCGGCCACACAGGTCAGACAATCACCGCTTATCAGCCTCATCTCTTTCTATTCCAGAGCAATTCCGATATCGAAGACCAGAGCAGAATTTCGGATCCATTGCCCTCTGTCAAGCATTTTACGCAATCTCTTCTATCGAAAGTTGCATGATGAACGGGACAGTTTCTGTAGAATAGTGAATTGGATATGGTCAACGTGGCTAACAACCCTTTTTAACGGTCGCTATGGCTGATAAGTGGCCGGATGGATGTCTATAACCATGACAGAAAATTTCTATGAAACTGAAGTCGGACCGAAGAATTCACTGTCATTATCAATCTAAGATCACTTCCACTTTCTCGGACACAATCGGCGGACCATTCATCCGTATCTGCCTGAGGCATGGTAATTCATTCCGATGCCCGCCAATCAGAAGCGTGGAATGTAGCCGAACCGCCGATCCACTCGGGGTGATTCTGCCCGCGGATTGGGTTGAGCTTCATCTTGACTGGTATAAGCCCGAGTTGAGTGAGCATTGCTCACTTAAACACCATCATCAATAGGTCCTCTGTATCGGAGACATTTTTGCACTCTAGTTACCATGCGGGACGCCCAGAGTATGGCCTTGGGTATTTATTACCTTGCGATCACTGCCCGCTATCATGTTTGGCTCAAGCAATTCAATTCCATCCTCTGCCTCACTGCAACCTCGCTTTCAAGCACTCGTGCAGCACTATGGCAACTTTGCGTCAGTATTTCAGTCTCCGAGACTCCGTGAGAGCGGACGTTGCCAAAGTCCACTCCTACTCCGACAGCTCCTCGGGCACATCGACCCCTGAAGAAAAGGCGTCTGCCCTTATACCCGGGATACAAATCTCCCGTCCAGACGAGCAAGATGGCTCTGTTACCTTTCTAGTCGGCTGGAAGGATTGCGATGCTCACAACCCTCAAAACTGGAGTCGCCCAAAGAAATGGTTTTGCACGGTAGCAACCTGTCTCATCGCCCTGGCCATCACCATCCCCGGTACGATAGACGCCCCAGTCTCCGATGCCTTTAATGAACACTATGGCGTGGGCGCGATTGCAGGGTCCATGACCACCGGTAAGTCGACCGTCTGGAATTTCAATGATCGTCAATTGATTTTAATGCCCCTGGCAGGTATGTATCTTATTGGTGTGGGCTTTGGCTCGCTGTTTGTCGGTCCTATCTCGGAAACATTTGGCCGCAATCTTGTCTACTTCACCAATTTGGCCGTGTTTATGCTGTTCATCATGGCAAAGGCATTGGCTCCTAATTATGGTGCTGCCATTGTTTTTCGCTTTCTAATCGGCTTCTTTGGTGCCGCCCCCATGACCGTTGCGGGTGGCACGGTGGGTGATCTTTGGAGCCCTCTCGAGGCCACCTTTAGCCTACCATTTGTCACTTTGGCATCGTATTCCGGTCCTATTCTTGGTCCCATAATTGGTGCTTATATTCCCAAGTCAGCCTTCAACTGGGTCGACTGGATCTCCCTCATCATCGCCGGGACAGTCCTCATCTTTGTGGCCTTGTTCCAGCCAGAAACGTACGGCCCGTTGCTGCTGCAATGGAAAGCCAAGCACCTGCGAGACCAGACCGGAGACCCTCGATACCAGGTTGATGAGTATGCGTCTGCCAGTTCTCTGGGTCGCCGCCTTCTCGTTAATGTCTACCGTCCGTTTCAGATGACCTACACTGAGCCGATCATCCTGGTTTTCTCCTTCTACCTGGTCCTCTTATACATTGTATTGTTCACCTTCCTGAACGGGTTCCCTTTCATATTCACCGATACATACGGGATCTCGACACCCCTGACTTATCTCATTTTCGTGGCCATGCTTGCCGGAGACGCCGTTGCACTGGTGCTCATACCGATCCTCTATCGCTGGACGAAACAGGCAGCGGCTAAGGCAGCGGCCGAAGGAAGAGCCCTACAGGCAGAGGTATCACTCTACTGGGCAATGGTTGGGGGTTCGATATTGATGCCAATCTCCTTGTTCTGGATGGGATGGACCTGCTATGTAAGTTTTCCCTGACCCGTTCTGCGAAACCCAACATGACTGACAGTATGACACAGCCCGGAGTCAGCATCTGGTCACCAATCCTCAGCACTTTCGTTTTCGGCTACTCCCTCGTCACCATCTTCACGGCGACCTACCTCTACATCTGTTTCGTGTACACGATCTATGCCGGTTCGGCTCTCGCATTCGTTTCGTTCAGCCGCTACGTTATCTCGGGCGCATTACTGCCAGCTTCCGTGCCAATGTACCAACACATGACTCCCCACTGGGTTCTCACCATGGTGGGCATCTTAACCACCATCATGGCCCCGGTGCCATTTTTGCTCTATCGCTATGGCCACCGGATTCGGGCCATGAGCAAGCACGTCCAGAATAAGGCTTGAGGCACTGGCGAGCTGCCGTTATGCACGGGCAGTTTCCAGGACGAGGTGCTGATAGACATAAAGTATATAGTATAATGTATAGATCCTACCTCATGGAATAACCCTATTCTTTTTTGGATCTGGAACTTGACTCGAGCAGATCTGTGGCCTGTACTAGATATGGAAGTTTTTGCGATTGTGTGTAACGATAATGACGAATGATAGACGTGTTGTCTTCCTTTTGAGAGCTCAGCATTATCGATGTAGGACTGAACAGTGACTGTTTTGAAGCCATGGACTACAAGAAGCCCCTTTATCGAGCTGACTGAATGTGTCTCATCTTGCAGATAAATGCCTGATATTTCAGGCGTTAGCGTCGTCCACTAGCGCCTGGGCACGCCGCACTCCTTCGCGCTTTCTCACTTTCTCAAACATTTGATAAATCTCACTGACTTCCCGAATGTATTCCATTTGCTTGCTCCGTTACCCTACATGATTGCTGGCTTTCTTGCGCGGTGAAAAGCAACGCCTATTGGAGCGCGTTGTAGCCGGTCAATGGCCTCGACTGACCGCAGTACAGCTGCGGAATCGAGCGACACCAGGGACGATTCCCCGCAGGACGACACCTATGCCGCTCCCTACGGTCGCTCCTGCTTAGACTGCTTTCAGGCCAAGTGCAAGTGCATCTACTCCAAAGCCAGCGGGAAATGTCAGAGGTGCGTATGTGGCTCACATGTCTTAACTCCAATCGTAACATGATTATAGGTGCCAACGCTTGGACAAGGAATGCCGTCAGCCCGCTACTACCCGCCGCTCGACCACACGAAGATCAGCCGTCTCTAAGAGCACATCGAAGACAAACCGGCTGGAGGATAAGATAGAGGACCTGGTTGCGCTGCTCCGGGCAGGCGTAAATCCTGGAAATGCTTCTACAACTTTACTCAGAGAGCTGGCGCAATTACCCGAGAACCAGAAGTCCACCGGCAGCAATGCTGTGTCGCCACCAGGCCATTCTGACATCTCTATGAGTAGCTCAGGACCTAGCTCCGTTTACACACGCCTCACGAATGGCACAGAGTCGACACCAGAAGCTAGCCTGTCGGACGGCGGAGGAGGCTCGTTATCGACAGGCGTCTCAGCCGAGCATGAAATGGAGCCAACAGGCGTTCAGGCAGAGGAATATTTTACTGTGTTTCTCACTCAAATGCTACCGTACTTTCCGTGCATATACGTTCCACCAGGCACTACTGCGCAGAAGCTCCGTCGTGATAATCCTTTTACATGGGTTTGTATCATGGCTATCGCGTCCAAAAGCAGCGCACAACGTCGCATTCTCTTTGATCGAATCAAACAAACGGTTGCGCAAAGATTAGTGCATGAATACACCTGTCGCGAACTTGATATGCTTCAAGGGATTCTCCTATATCTTGGGTGGTATGTATTTAGCCATAACGGATACTGCCTATCGGCTGACATGGGTACCAAGGTCCAATCAGCAGGTCTACAACAAGGCCAACATTTACGTCTTTGCACAGTTAGCAATGGGAATCGTCTACGAAATGGGTCTATTCAACCCAGAAGCGAAGGGGAAGCATATGTTGCTGTGTGTTCATCCAGAACCGCACGAGAACCGTACGGCACCCCCGCGCCAGGTTATGGAGGAGCGCAGAGCTGTTCTGGGGTGCTTTCTATTGACATCCACGTAAGAATTCCTCGCAATCCTGTCTCGTTACCATAACCGATGCTCTAACAATCTCTCAGAATCGCAACCTTTCTGCAGCAGAGTGACTCTTTGCGCTGGACACCTCATTTGGAAGACTGTCTGCGCCTCCTTGAAGAGCAGCAAGAGTGTGCCAATGACGGAATTCTTGTGCAGCAAGTTCGACTTCAATTAGTCACGGACAGACTCAGTTTGGGTAGCAGGTATGGAGGTTCAGCGAGCGTTGAGTCGATGCGACCGTCGCCTTCCGTTTATCTCCGCCCAATGCAGACGCAGCTGCAGTCACGCCTTCAGGAAATCATGAGCAGACATGGTTCTCACTCTAAGGGATATAGTCAGTGTCCAAGGCTCCACAGACCATCTACGATGCCTGTTACTCATCTGCTCTAGAAATTGTCCTCTTGCATCATTACAACACCTCGCTGAGTCTCTATGAATCTGCGCTCCCAAAGGGTGCCATTTCATCAACTGTTAATGTGACGTACGAGCACCTTGACTACCTGTATGGTTGCCTCGACGCCACGAAGTCCTGGTTTGATGTATTCCTGAGCATACCGCCCGGGGAATACATTGGATTCCCCTTCGCCGTGTTCGCCCAAATGGTCCAGAATCTGGCCACTCTCTTCCAGCTCTCCACTCTAGAGAGTTCACTTTGGGATACGACCAATGTTCGACGAACGGCCGATATCTTACAGATTTTGGACACGGTCGTCAGCAATATGAGCCTAGTTGCGACCATTAATGGCCTGGATGGAGATCCTGGAGCAGATATCTTCTCTACAATAGCTCAGACATATCACGCTGTCCGCGTGGGATGGGAAACCAGGCTCTTTACTAACCCCATAGGTTCATCTGCGGTGGATTCAGTCCCACAAATCCTTAATCAGACTCTTTCCGATATCCTCACTACCCCGGCTGATCCTTTACCACTGATTGGGGATAATGATTGGTTGACAGATGCGCTGAACACCATGAACCGCAATGAGAATGGATGATCGGACTGGTGCTCAAGTCAAGCCGAGATTGCATGCCCTACAGCAGGATTACTGGTCGAATGTGGGGATAGTGAAGTAATCTACACCAAGGTTCTGACACTGTCTACGGCGACGCACGCTTGCCAAAATTTTCTGAAGTGGTCACCACCAGCAAGCCGCAACGCGCCAAGATCGAAGATTGTACGATTCCTTAATTTCCTGACGATTGCACAGTAATATTGTATGTAATTTCTACCTTTATCTCAGATGTACACATTGTACGGGGTAGCACTAAGGACAACCCAGATGCACTCGCTATGCAACCAAAGCCAGCCTAACCAGCCATTGCCAACACCGCATAGTTTCTGATATCATTCAATTCCCCTCGCAATCGTGCCTCTAAGGCGAGACAGACCGACATTGAATTGTCATTTGCGAGGTCTTCGTGGCGACAGTATCGGCAAGCGAATATTTGCACCAGCGCTTGTACTTTGTTCAATCCAGTCATTACTACCTGGATCACCATCCGTTTAGAATCACTCTTGCTCAGTTCGAACTCTCCGATCTTGATTGGAGGGAACTCCACAAATGTGCAACTTGAATGAGAACTAAAGACTTTGCAGTCGCTGATAATTCCAGCATACCAAGTGAGGATCTTAGTTATTGCTTCGGCGATCGACGGGGCAAAAAGAGATGCGACGCGGCAATGGCACTCTAGCACCGCAGAAAAGTTGCTCAAAGCGTCTTCATTGAGTCGTAGGACTGTATCAAGGCTGAGCAATTGAGACACATCCACTTGTCGGATATAATACTCGAGCGGATAATCAAGTCTTCCCAGTGTCTCCACGATCATTGGGAGACAAGTGGAGACGTGCCAAGTGGTGTCGCTTGAGCAAGGGGAAGATGCGCGTGAGGAGTGTAGTAAAGATAAGGTGGGGCTTAGTACTGAGTCCATCTGGTTGTCTGACTGCACAGTTTCTGAAGTGAGGGTCGACTGAGGTGTGGTTATGTCAAACGGGAGGTTGAGCTCGTGATCCAGGAATTTCCAGTCATCCAGATTTTGGATATCACAGGATGAATGACTTGTTGTAGATGTGATTTTGGTTTCTGGCGAGCAGTAGATATGACTGTCTGCTGTTGGTTCGGGATCGTAAGACGTAGAGAGCAGGTCCAGATCAATACACGGGTCTGGCGAGCAGGGTTGAGATTTCACAGCAGGGAGGCTAGGTGAGCGATGAGAGAGTCGTGGTCGTCCCTTCGGTCGAATGAGCCCGTAATTGCAAGCTTGCTTCCTCGCCACGCAGCGATCACATCTAGGATGCTGTTTTCCACAGCGCACCTTGGACTTGGCACAGCCGTCGCAGCTGTCACGGGTCTTTCGACGGCTTGTAGTTCTGGAGATGTTGTCCGCCAGGCTGACAGTTGTCGATGGTGATGAGGAGCCAACCATCTTGATTCTGAGATCTTTCAGTTTCATATGAATATCACTTCCATTTTACGGTCAGGTTGCACCCCTAAGAGGGTACTTATGTCCCTTCCACCTTGCTAACAGGTAAGTAATTCTACGAAATCCGTGCAAAATTGAAGCGGATTTGATGTCTACGTGAGCACAACCCCGGAGGTAGCATGATGCAGTATCTGCAAAGGAGTAATATCAGGGGAATAAAAAGTACATCATTGGACCAATTGCAATGTTGAAGAATCCGCCAAGAACCAATTCCGGGCTGGCATCGTCTACTATTTGAGGCTATGGTGGATGTCGGGAATCCCCCGGAATCCCGGTCGAATCCCGGCGGTCAGCGGGTTCTGGCATTGTTGACCGCTTTGTCAGGTGACTTGGGAGGGTTGTATGTTCACGTGATTTGATAGAATCTGGGCATTGTTAGAAGGGTATTATGCATATAATAGATTGAAGGTCATGTGCTGTTCATAATAATACTAGAGTTTAGAGGGATATAGGTACATTAAATAGGAGCGGGGGTCCTATATGACTAGTAATACAGATCTACACTATATCATTCACTACGAGCAGTAGACGACGGCCCAGTGGTTCACATGGTGTATAACAAAAATTCAAAATATACTACTTTCATTATACATATCAAGCTACCAAGTACAATAACAGACAATATATATCTTTAACCTACAGAATAATCGTACCACAATCTCTAATCTAAACAGCCTGCAAAACAGCCATCCCCAGCACACCCGGCACCAACAACGCCCTACCCATCTCTGATAGACCTGTCGGCACCACACCTCCCCCGCTAGACGTCGCCGTCGTGAATGTCAACGTCGCAGCCGCCGTGCCTGTAGAAGCAGCAGGTGTATACGCCGTAACGCTAGCCGGCCAATCCCCGACAGCACTAGGCAATGCCGTCCCAGTGCCAATTTCCACAATCTCATTTTCACCTTCTTTTTGATCATCATCATCCTTCAGCGTCGCAACGCCCACAAACTGGTTATTATAATCCACGGCGACATACATCCGTCTCAGAAAGGGAACACCCAGCTCCGCACGAGTCTTGTAATCTGAATCCTGGGCCTGGATGCCGAACTTGCATAGTCCGTCACGCGTCCACGGGACGAAGAGCTCATCCCAGGACACAGAGAAGGTCATGTTGCCGATGGCTAGAGAGATTGTGTGAGATTCGGTCTCCTGGCGGGAGCAGGGGAGGACACCGTAGAATCTTGAACTGGATATCACGCCGTCCATGGTTATGTTAAGGTCGGTGTAGAGGGATTGGACGGTTGAGTTGGGGAGGTAGGTGATTAGTTCTTCGGTTCTGAGCATCATGGGGGTGGAGGAGGGAATGGGGTAGGTGGAATTCTTGTTGGTGTTGGTGGTTAGTTGGATGGAGTCAGCTTCGACAGTGACGAATGGATTGTTGGTGATGCTGTGGTCTGCAAAGGAGAAGGCTTGCAGGGGCCCGTTGAATTTGGAGGTGTTGATGCCTCCGAAGATGATGCTGGGGGTGGTGGTGTTTCCGTTGTCGCCGATTAGGCTGAAGGATGGGGAGGTGGTGAGGCCGCGGTCGACTAGGATGTAGGGGAAGCTGGTGTTGACGGAGGAGAGACCGAGGGAGCTGTCTATGTGGTGGTTAGATGATGGATAAATAGAGTGGTGAGAGAGAGGGGGGACTGACAGGAAATGTAGGACAGAAGGTACATGTCTAGTGGGACCTTGTCGGTTGCGTGGTCTCCGAGTGTTATGGTATCAAGGTAGGAGTAGTCGACGCCTGCATCGTGTCTCTGTGTGTAGGTGAGATGCTGATAAGTGGATGAATCTGTGGGTTTGTAGAAGCCGAATTCGGAGCACAGTTCATCGTCAGAACAAGTGTAGTCCTCATCGAGGGTGTATGCAGGCTCAACCCTTGAGCGCGTAAGATCAAGTAGGAAACTTAGTGACTGCGCAGGGGTTCCGATTGAGGCGTTCATCCAGTAGCTATCGCCCTGTTGGTTGTTAGGGTTGTCGAGTTAATGACATAGATAAGAGTGGGAGAGCTGACTGACATATATCACTAGAGGAGCTTCTACTGTCTTGGAGCTATCCCGCTTGGCAACATGGACATCCTCAAGATTGCCAAAAGGAAATGGAACCACAAGTGAATCATCTCGCTGGCTCGATAGGGCACTGCTGCAAGTCGACAATGCGAACACGACGGCAAGGCGCAAGGTAGAAGATGGCATTCTGATGGAGCGAAATCACACACATCGACGGTTCTCTGAAATCGGTGTATTGACCGTCAATATCGACGCAGGGTCTTGCTCTTATTAAGTGATGATAGAAATCGCATCCAAGCTCAAAACAGGGCACCACGGGGCACACTCCGCCGCCCGCTTGGCAGTCCCAAGGCCAAGGCCCCAAGGCCCTGAAAGACGAATAACGAGCTCCATATTCAGGCACGTAGAGGAACTATATTTCAGGGGTCCAAGCCATGCGAAATCGGGTGGGGGAAGGATTAACCTTTACTGGTAGAGGTTAGGGTTGCCGAGAACCCGGCGAATCCCAAGTTTGCTTGGAAGAATTGTGATTGGATGGAGAATTGAGCCAGAGACGGAGGTTACATGATGGCTCGTATCAGTTCAAGTTGTTTTTTCTTTTATGCTGCATAGCTAGGTATAACTGCTGGGTCATTATTCCTTTGCTATTTGACCATTTCCTTGGGTTCCTTGGAAATGAATCGTACGAAAAAGCCTCATCCGTTTAAGGCTGACATTAACTGAATGTGGTCAATTCAGCCCAACTGGGTTAGACCACCATAGCCGGGATCACCTGATACAAGCATCCCTCAGGCATCGACTGTCAGGCATCATCTTCTTGCACTTGGGCGGGGCAGTTCATCTCTTCAGATAATCCACCCCAGAAGGTGCTACTAAGACTTGGAGTCAGTTCGATGGGATAGTCTACTATAGCTACGAGTCGTGCTGATTCTCATAGACGCCCTGCCCACCTTGTCCAGGATGACCAGATCCCTCATCGTCTTACTGGCCTTGACCAAGGAAAGGATGAGGCTGAGCAGGGTGGCTTGTCTCATGCCTATCGCTAACGCCCGATTGGCGTGATGAGAAAACCTTCTGTTGGAGCGGGGTAACGGGCGCTATGCTGTTAATCATCTTTCAGCAGGTGCTACTGCTAACCCAATCCCTGCTTTGGAAGCTCCGACTTTAGCTGCAGTACCGAACATGTCCTCCAGCTCCTCCGACACGGATCCAGATACAGATCCACACGTGGTTATGCGAGAACGAAATTATTACAATGGGGTCTACGATACACCCATTGCTACCTTTCTGGCAAATGCGTCTACCTGCTTGGATTGCAATCTGGTGCTGCAGGTCATCGAGGCTGTCAAGCCAGGCTGGGTAAAAGAGAACGCGCATCTCGGTCTAGTTGACTACCACCGGGAGAAATCAGAGGATGACAAGTCTACGATAGTGCCTCAGTTTACCCTGCACCTGCAGCAGTCGGTAGGAATGGCAGGTGTTGACTTGCACCAGCCTACTTCCTTCCACTTTTTCAAACGTGCTGCCACTGCACGCTACGAGCCGCATCATGTCGATTCGCATGCTGGCAAAAGCCCTGAATTCACCGGGAATTTTCTCGCTCAGTCCCTCGAAGTGACGCATGATTCAGGCTCACCAGCAGCCTTTGAACGAGCTCATCAATGGCTATCATACTGTGACGAGCATGACGGAGCCTGTAAGCCTCCAAATCCTGGATACAAGCCGCGGCGCCTTATCAATGTCGGCTCGTCGGATGGGACCCGCCATCCATTCCTCTTCGAACCTGCCGAGCCTGCCCGCTACGCATGTCTCAGCTACTGTTGGGGTAAGGATCTTGACCAAGTCCTGACCACAACGACCAATAACATAGAGTCGCATTACCAAGCTATCGAACTCTCCACCTTACCACTAGCCCTTCAAGACGCCATCACTGTCTGCCGAAACCTCGAGATACCCAATCTATGGGTCGACTCTCTGTGCATCGTCCAAGATGACCGACTTGCCTGGTTACACGATGCATCAGCAATGCACGATATCTATCTCAACTCTTATCTAACCATCTCAGTCAAGGAACCCAACTCATGCAAGTTGGGATTCCTCGGCAAACAGCGCTTCGGTGAGCCTACCTGGCAACAACTCCTTCGTCTCACCCGCCCAGACAACGCCCCCGGCTTAGACCTGTTAATACGCCCAGGGGAGTTCTACCCCAGATCGTATCGAGACCGATCATCTCTCGACAGAAGGGGATGGTGTCTACAAGAGTCCATCCTACCCAACCGCAGACTCTGTTACGACGGCAACGAAATGATCTGGGAGTGTCTCTGTCGCCAGCTCTGTGAATGCGGACATGCAGTGGCACCCCAAGTACCACACCTCACGACCCTGGATTACGGCAAGCTCGGAGCTTCCATCAAAACCGAGATCCTGAAGGGGAAAATCCGCTCTAAGAGACAAGGCTACTCAGAGTGGCACCGGTTTTCGCTGGGCTCACGATCATGGCTTGAGCCTCATCAGGAGATATACCAGAGATGGAGAGACCTTGTCTCGGACTGTTCGCACCGATCACTCAGCAAGAAGCATGACCGATTACGGGCTATTTCGGGACTGGCGAGAATGGTGGGGAATAATATGCGGCAAGGACCCGAAGCAGCAGATGAGTATCTGGCTGGACTTTGGAAGAAAGAGCTCCCTTTTGATCTGTCGTGGGAGGTTGAGCCCCTTACTGAAGGTGCGGAGGTACTGGAGAGTGGCGAGGTAAATGCGAATGAAGCTGCGTATCATATCCCGAGCTGGTCGTGGGCGTCTGTGCGAAGACCGGTCGGCTATCGATTCGACCTTCCGTTGGAATTATGGAAATATGAGCCTGTGGCCGTTGATCAGTGCATCGTGGAGCGAGTTCATTGTCAACATGAGCTACTGGAGGACCCTATGAGTGCCGTTACAGACGGCTCTATTGTTTTAACAGGCGCTTTTGCGCAAGTGAAGCTGATTCACCTCAAGCAAACACAAGGAACCGCTCGAGAAGATCACGAAGGCCTCATCGTCGATGAAGGTGGTATCCAACGGGATACATTTGTGCAATGCTCCACTGGGCACAAGTTGAGAGTGACCCTCGACAAGCTGGAGGTGAACGATCCAGACGAATCGTATTACTGTCTCCGATTGTTTTCGTGGGTATCTAAATACGACCGGAGGATGGGCCCGGAGACATGGTTTCTCGTACTGGCGACATCAACGCGCAAACTAGGTGCTTTTGAGAGAAGGGGTGTTGGTCTGTGGAATACATGGCGAGGTGATGCGGGTAACAGGTCTTGTCCTATTTTCGAGGGGTGTGCAGCTGCTACAGTGGAGATTGTTTAGGTGAGACTGGCGCTTGGTTGGGCTGATGTGGAGACACGGCAGCATAACTGTAATAGATGATCTACATTAGTTTAGCTTTGGGGTGTTATAGGCTGCTAGATTGTACGGTGGACCCAATTTGGCTACCGTAAATATGACTAGGATTGACTGTAGAATGATGAGAACACGAAAATGCTACAGCCTAGTGTGGCTGTGCAATATAATCTACAGAATGCAGCAGCACATCAAACATGTTGCATAATTCCTCATGGTAATTGGAAACGGCAGAAGTGATCGCCAAAAGCACGTGTGAATCTCACTCAGCAATCCCCCTCATCAGTTCATCGCTTCCCCACACACCCTATTGCCAACTTTCCATCCCATCCCATCCATAGCCACTATATTAAGGCTCCAACACAGTCAACTTTTCCGGCTGCTGCAACAGCAACAATGGCCCAGCAAGCACACTATCCTCCGTCGGCGCCCCAGCCTCATCAGCAATAGCAATAGCAATAATGCCCGCACCCTTATCAAACGATCCCGGAATAACTGTCTCATTAGTGGTGATATCGAACGGCACACTAATATTCTGCAACCCATGAAAGAACACCGCATAGTAATCCCCTCCCTCCACGAACACCGGATCACTGCTAAACTCAAGCTGAATCTTCGACCCCGGATGCCCAGTAGTAGTATTCGTCACATACCCAATCTCCGGCAAGTTCTGGTTAGGGTACGGATACTGCGGGTTCTCAGACGGACAACTCCCCGACACCACGAAAGAATTCGTCAACGCCAGGATCTGATTAGCGTAGGGATAAACCGTGTCAGCCGGGCCGGAGAAGGGACTCACGTCCCAGATATCGATGAGAGACCAGGCGTTATGCCGGGTTTCGATCTCGCCGATGGCGACAAGGGCGGAGCGGGTGTCGGTTGTGTTGGCTTCGCGGACGAGGCCGGTGAGGAAGGCCATGCTGTTGACTTCGATGTAGACTTGGAGGGCGAGAAAGGTTTCCGGGTCATTGTTGAAGCCGAAGCTGTAGTTGCAGGGGCCGGGTTTTAGGGATGTAGAGGAGATTTCGTCTTGGAAGATGCGGATGTGGCCGGCTTCGTTGTCGCGGATTTCGGCGATGCGGTCGTAGGTGCTGTTTGGGTAGCCCAAGTCGCTGAAGGAGGAAGGAGTGAAGGCTTCGACGCCTTGTTGGTAGAAGGAGTAGATGATCCATTCAGCGCTGAGGAGGTTTTGGAAGAGTACGTCGTCTGGACCGGCGGGACCGGAGGATGTTGCTGGGATGACACGGGTGTAGTTGACTGGTATGGGGGTGGGTTTGCCGGTGTATGTTGCGAAGAGAGAGGATTCACCGGGGATGGGATTGGGGTCGAGTTTGGGGGATCTGGCTTTGGGGAGGGCTAGAGATAGCCCTATGAGGGAGGCTAGGGGGAGGATGTTGAAGGATAGCATTTTAGTGAGGGACGGACGTGATCGGTTCTGCTAGGATTATAATAGAGGGAATGATTGCTTGAGATGGATAGTGATATTGAGATTATAGTCTCTGCCTGAGACGAATTCAGTGACCTTATATAACATCAATCTGGACAAAGACTCACATCAGACGCATTGACAGCGATGAGCTGCAGCTGCGCCTCTCTGCCCAAGCCATGATTCTCCGGCAGTGCATTTGATACGATGAACATATCGCACGTAACTGTATCGTGATGCAGTCATATTTCCATCTCCGTCAGTTAGAAAGTCGATCAATTGTAACAGCATCTCATATGCATATGGAGCTAACCTAATCGGGAAGGTGATTCGTAGGACGAAAGAATTCTCCCGATGCGGCAATGCGGGATTGGCGGCGGCATCTCGGAAACTCAACGATCCACGGCGAACCATCGAAGAATACGAGCCGTGCAACGTGGACTCAGCCTCCCATCAGATAGGCATCCCTCATATTCCTAGAAAGGTGCTAAGACAAGCATTTTTGGTACGTAACTTGGCATGTGTCGAAAAGTGAATTTTAACGTTTCGCACGGAGAATCCCTCCGATCCGATGCTGCTGCCTTGGGCCTTTTAAGGGCCAAGCCTCGACACCCAACGAGGAGACATGCCAAAAGCGGTAATGTGTTTCGTAGGAGCATACGAGACTTCAAAGCTCTCTTGAAAGAAAAGCACTGGATAGTAAACTTGCTTGGCTGGTTTGCCTATATAAACACACCCGACCATGCTGGAGCCCGCAGTTATGATACTACGGATTCTGTATATTCAAGTCACTAGACAGATACTCAGAGAAAGAGCAGATATTCTCTGTCGACCTATCCATATTTTATTAAGATCGATTTTACAAAATGACTGCTGTCACAGAAAAGGGTATTGCGATAGCCGAGTTGATCGTCTATATATCTATATCCCTTGCTACTCTTCTCGTCGTCCTCCGCCATGGCTTTCACAGACAGCTCGGGTGGATCTACCTCTTCATATTCAGCGGAGTCAGAATCGCAGGTGCTGTGATGGAGATCCTCAGTGAGACACATCCAGACAATACGACAGACCTGGAGTGGGCTATAATATTACAGTCAGTGGGGCTCTCTCCACTGTTGCTATCTAGCCTTGGCCTGCTGAAAAGAGTGTACGTTAAGTCATCAGATGTGCTTGTTGCTTTAACCCCATCGAAGAACTCACATTTGATAGTTTTGATGAGATTTGCGACCACGTGCCATCAACCCAAGGCCCCCGGGCCACTATGGTGTTGCAGAAACTGAGTTCATTCAGCAGTGTCGCAGCGAAGCTGTAAGAACCGAAACTCATTCTGGGTAATTGACACGCTGACACAGTTGTATCCAGTATGGGAATTTATAACAAGAGAGCAACCGCCATATCCGGTCGCAGCAAAGTCGTTCAGTTGATTCATATCCCAGCCCTCATAGCGTTGGTTCTTTCGATCATCGGCGGTATAAACCAATACTCATCGGATACCTCTGACCATTCCGGAGGAAGGACGGAAACCCTTGTTGGAATCATTCTATTCCTCGCAATATACATCATACTTTGCATCCTGTGGTCCACAGCCGTCAAGGACCTCCCTCGGATGGTGCCAAGCCAAAAGCGTATCGTCGTCGTGGTTCTATTAGCATTGCCATTGATCGCTTGCCGTCTGTTGTACAGTCTTATCGCCGATTTTAGCCATGACCGTCGATTTTCATTGGTCGATGGAAATGTGACAATCCGGCTGTGCATGGCCATCATAGAGGAATTCCTTGTGGTGTTGATGTACACTGTGCTTGGTGTGTTTACTCCTCGGTCAGAAGTCGCAGTGGACAGCACAGTCTCAAATCCTCAAAAATGGCCATATCAAGCCGGAAACCAGCAATTTCATACTTCGCCTCTTGATCCTCGCAATGCTCATAACAATGGACAGTATGAGCCTGTTTAGCCGCCAGCTTCCGGTGATAGTGTCTACCACGTGATTAAAAACCATAAAACAAAATCATTGGCGTTGAAAGTTAATAATGTTGATTGTTATGTCATGCTTTCATTGAATGCACATGTGGTTTCAAAGGTCGAAATCCTTTCTGATGTTTGGTGAATCATGCCATTGTAGAGAAGCTGAAGGTTTATCTGTTTTCTATAGAGCTTCAGCTTCGTTCCATGATACCCCCTTCTGGCCGTCTCGTTTAGGCGAAGAATATTCCGGGGATAGCCAGGCCCGCGTGCTCTCGCCCTCTCTCACCAATTGTGCCATTGCTAATGCCTGGTTGATACCCATAGAATGGCCGATCTTATCTAGACAATGGATGATCCAACTTCGAAGTTCCTTGGGCGCATAACCAGAATCTGCAGCAATCAACAAAGGCCACATTAAGGCAAAACCCCCGGCTGCTGGAACTCCAAATGGAGATTCAGATGACAAGTGAGGAGGCTTCGATGCACGATGCTTATTTGCGTCTGAGCTTTTGAAAGTCGTGGAACCGGAGAATTTGTCGACGTGGCTGTCATCCACCACAGAGCCAAGATGAAATGGCACACTTGCGCAAATATCCTCAACGAGCTGGCGGGAAATTTGCTGACATTCTCGCAATAAATGTTGATGCTCTTCTTTCGTATTGCCCGGAAAGTGGATGTTCATGGCACCGATCGCTTCGACAATCAACTCCAGGAGTACCAGCCTAGCAGATCGATAGTTATTCCAGAAGCTACTCACGGTGATGTCTCTATAGGTATGATATTGAGCGCCCCAAACAGTGTCGACCGTAGGTACTCCCTGAGCCAGGGCAACGTTGACAGTCTTATAACCCATTGAAGCAGGTATATCGGACATTATTGATTGGATTTGTGCATCTAGATTCAAGGCATAACGCACGATCTCCGATGGGCAGCTTATTGTGCCCCCCTTGATGGCTGCACAGAGGTCCCCAAGTGGAATGGTCACGCTGCTGAGTCGATCGACAATCGAATCATCTTTATTCGGTCTGTACTTGGCTGCTTCTTGACTGAGGCGACGAATCATTGCCGAGGTATGCTTTTGCCGATATATATGACTGAGCACCTAAATAGTTTCTGATTAGCGTCTTCTGTGAATGGGCTTTATATCTGTCCCACTGCAAGAGATATAGCTGAGGATCTAACTAGTTTACTCACTATTTGGGTGCGTAATTGACTGAATAACGCCAATCCTTCCGGTCGAGTTAGTTGCTCTGGACCCCGAGTCTCAATCAAAATTGCCGCGCCATCTAAGTGCTTCATCCATCGATTGATGAAAAGACCGTCGCTGCAGGTCAATACCTTAGGAAGCCTGTGTTAGCTTAAAATCTGGTTGCTGATTAGGTCGGTCTCACTTCAAACATGCTCAGGAGCACCACTGTAGCCAAAGTTTCGTCCCTCGTACACAAATGCGCGTGACTGAGGGAGCTACTAGTCTGAGATAACGCGGTCATATAATGTTGACGGGCTGTATACATAAGCTGTCGAGACCTATAGATGTTGGACAAGGCCGCCAGCCCAGCAGCCGTAAGAGCATCGTTCACAGCGGAGCTTTCTAGATGGTTTGCCAAAGTTGAAAGGTACGGCATGTACGCCCCTCGATCCCCCTTGGCGATGTAATTTACAAAGAGATATCCCTTCGCCAGTTCTGCGGTTGGATATGATAGCTTTGAGGAAGGTGAAGGCGAGTAAGTCAGCGTTTGGTTGCTGTTACCCTTGACGGTCCGCTTTTGTCGCTTGCTGATTTCTTTGGATTCCCTTTCGGCTTTAAGTTGTGCCTTGCGAATAACATCACGACTCTGGTCACGAAATGTATACTCCAAAGCAGATCGATACCCGGGACAGTCGACTTTGGCCCGAATGCACTGGGAGCATGACGGTTTCCCCCAATCGCACTAAAGGATTCCAGTTTTGTTTAGCTTAGTTTAAGTCTTGAACCATCTGGTCTGCCCCTCCCCTCGTTTGCCAATGTACATGACGGCTGATCACATTAATGACAAAGGAGAAAAACCACGCAACAGAGACACGCCGGTACCTTTAAGCGCCGCGGGCGACAGCGTTCGCAGGCCAGGCTTGGCTTCCCGCTGTAAACCATCCTCGTGGGATGCTAAACTGAATGTCTGTGTACCTAAAATTGTAGAATATCACAGAAAAATGACACCTCCTGTAGGGATCCGAAAAAGCTAAGAGTTTTGATAAATGAATTGATGGAGATAGTAAGTTTGGCTGTGGATGCCTAAAATGAGAGTCAAGCATTTCACGTGACAGAGCTTAATCAGTTTCATAACCACGTGCCGCAAACCCAAAACAGTATCTAAGGCCGACATTATCGAGGGATAAGATTAAACCAAAGGTGTATAATGTAGAAATGCAACCCTCATGGCTATCATACCCTCTCTTTACCAGTAATGCTGTGTCACTGGTTCCCAGGCACCAATTTACTACCTACACAGCCATATGCTCCGGTGTCAAGCCAGTGCTAGTTAGGCTCCTGGAAGATGGCTCAGGTAATCTTACTTCGATTTCACTCTCCTAACCCGGCTGATAACATGCACAGAGACGCGCATCGCTGAGCCCGAATTATTCAAATATCAACGGTATAGATGGCTGTATGTACCTCAGGAGATTGAGGCCTCTGTATCAGTCTCATGGTGTTAATTTAGGAAGGGAGAATCCCAACATCTGGCCGCACTCTACCGTGAATTCGACTTGGATCACCTCCTTGAGACAGCCAACCAAGTAACTGGCCACAAAGGAACGCGATGTAATTGCTTAGCTTTTGGCACAATAGTAAGCTGTTCAGCTAACTATGCGAACCAGGTGTGAAGGTCTCAAAATGCGTGGAAGGACAATACAACAAGGCGTTCATTTTAACCATGAATAATGGAGAGGAGCTAGTTGCTAGGTTGCCAAACCCAAATGCAGGTCCTTCTTTCTATACGACCGCTTCAGAAGTGGCGACTAGGCGTTTTGTATATACATCTCCTTCTCGTCTTGAGTGACGGTGTTGCTGACAGATGCCAGGTTCGCGAGATCTTGAGGATCCCAGTCCCGCACATCTATTCTTGGTCCGAAGACCCATCAAACCCAGCGAGAGCTGAGTATATCATCGAGGCGAAGGCCGAAGGGCATTCCCTTGGGAGCCTGTGGGGCGGAATGTCTAAGTCGTCACAGTTTGGAATCATTGACCAAGTTGTCGAGATAGAGAGGAAATTGGCATCTGTTTCTTTCCCCATGCAAGGGTGTCTTTACTATACGTCCAACCTCAAATCGAAGATTACTGATGCTAAAGGCCTCGACACTATGCTTAGCAAATTGCCAGGGCTGGAGGAAGAGGATTGCAGGCAAATGTCCTACTTTGCAATCGGACCATCTAACGACCGAAAATTGTGGCATGGTGAACGACATTCGATGAAACTGGATAGAGGACCATGTAAGTTAAAGGGTTATCTCAAAAATGTACGATATTAGCCCTACTAACAACGGTCTAGGGACCAACCCCGTCGATTACGTGACTGGTCTTGGAATAAGCGAATCGAATTGGGCAAGATGCCATGCAAAGCCAAGAATGAACTATTACCGATCAGCAGAGACTCCAGAGAATCCGAACGAGTACTTGGCTCTCCTCCAGCGATATCTCGACGTTGCCCCACACCTAGTACCAAACCTACCCTCCCCGGAACTCAACAACATCAATACGCTGTCACATCCAGACCTCCACCTCGACAACATTTTCATCGACCCAGAAACACACCAAATCACTTCGATCATAGACTGGCAACTCGCAGCCATAACGCCATCCTTTTTACAACGTCCTCACCCGCAAATGCTAGAACTCTCACTTAGCCCAGGCAGCGACGAACAAAGAAGCAGAGAACAGGAGCTACTGGACTATTACTACCAAGTAACCGAAAAAGTAAACCCTTCCCGGGCTGAGGAATTCAAAGACCCATACCTCTCCATACGAGTTACCCCCACCAACCTGATATCCGGATGTTGGGAGCGCGAAGACATTTTCTCACTGCGTGAGTCTTTGACCAAACTAGCCGCGTACTGGGACCAACTCCAGCAAGGCAATACACCTTGCCCGATTGACTTTAACGCCGAAGAGCTAGCTGCACATGAAAGTGAAAGGGAGCTTATTGAAGGGCTTTCGAACATTGTCCAGCGGTTAGAACAGGAGGGGCTTATTCCGATTGGAGGGATGGTTCGGCCGGAGGAGTACGAGCATGCCAAGATGGTGAGTGATTACTTTAAGCGCGAGTTTATAAATCTAGCCGAGAGCGATCAGCAACGGGAATTGCATGAGAAGGTCTGGCCTTATTAGGGTTGGTTTGGATGGATGATGGTCTTGTCATTTGGCTGCGTAGTATCGGTGTGGTATGCTAGATATTGATTGGGCTGTGTATGATTGCGGGATTGTATGGGCTTTGGGCCCAAATTACTTCCAACGGTTTAGTGCGTAATAAATTAGCATCATACAGGGCAGTACCCATAGGCTTACGGGATTGTAAATTTCACATGGAAAGAGATGATAAACTGATTGGGTCTTGACTTTCTTTGCTAATGAAATAAGACAACAATCTTGGAAAGACAAAGAGAGAGAAAGAGTTATCAGGGCAAATTAGAGCAGATGTGATGCTCTATTATATAGACTGAGCGAGAGCGCAAGAAGCACAGAGACTCGACTGGTAGTATCCCACCTTTTCTCTCCTCAAGAGACCCCCGTAATCGTCCTAACCCTGCAAGCCCAGGTCTCTGGGTCATATAAATTCAGGCCGATTCTACGGTGACGAAGAAGGAGCCGCTCTCTCATCTCCGGCTCGAGGCCATCAGAAAGGAGCTCATCTGAGTCTTGTCCTAGACGTTCCAAATACCTTCGAGAAGTTGACACCCACGGTCTGATAAAAACAAACCATCCGTCAATTCGGCCTCGATCCCACATCACATATGCCCACTGACGGAGCACAGCCTGATCAAAGTTACCAACAAAGCCTCCTGCCTCTTCATCTCGATGGGCCCAGCGCCAGATGTCTTCTGGCCCGCTGTCCGGGTCGTGGTACCATGGCTGGGGGATGTACTTTTTTTCGTCCTCGGCATCGAAGTCTCCAAGTGCATGTTCCAAGGGTGGCCACCGTGACACCGGATGTAACCCATTATAGAGAAAACTGAGTTGTTGATCAATTCGTGGTGTTGCGCGTGTTACGTGCACGATCTGTTGCAACTGTTTTTCATTCTGAAGGGCGAACCGCCGCACATGAGTAAGACCCAATGATAGGTGAAACTGGAGATAGTTATGAAAGGCTGTATCTGAAACCTGGGAGATATATTGCGGCCAATTTGAGCGAAGATTAGGGTCCTCAATAACTGATTGGCTCTCCGACTTAGTTATGATGAGACCTTACGGATCAGGGAACAGAAAATGTAAAACATACCTTGCTTAACCATGCGCATTAAGAAGTCATAGATGCTGTATAGTTGTTCGTTTTCCCATGGTGCAAAGCCTGCCGAACGCGCTGCTATAGCGTCCCACTCTTGCTGTAGGTTGCAGTTTGCATGAAACCGGTACAGACTTCGGCTAATCCGGTTTCTCTCTGTCTTGGAGGGCGGTAAAAATGAGGAGAGGTTCTGGCTGTCTGAAGTAGAAGGTACTGGTAGAGCCTCTGCAGCCAATCGATCAACCAAATACTTCACGGCCTCATCGAGTCGATCGATCAAGAGAGCCTCAGAGAGCCTCCAATTCATAGAGGCTTCGAAATAATGTTGATCGCGTGCAAGGTATGGCACCATGAAGGTTTCGACTTCTTCGGTTGACTGATGGTCAATTTTGTTGGATGCGTGGGTCGCTAGGACATCATGAATCAGGGAGGGATCAAACTGGCGTAGCAAGACTGGTCGTACGATGAATTCTTCTGCTCCTTTGAAAGCGTTATACAGACATGGTCCGGTCATAGCGGCGGCCTCCAGGGTCGTAATGTCTGGCGCGGCAGCGAGAATGGCTTCAAGCAGCTCCACTGGCAGCTCTTCAAGCCGTCTACTTGAACCCTGTGCCATGGTGAGTTCCGATATGGGGTTTTTGATGTTGAACGTTAGACTCAGTATCAGAAAGGCCAGCTGTCACTGATGGTAGAGGGAGATGGATGGAGAATGAAAATGTTGAAGAGATGAGGGCATTAAATAATAATACAGTAGCCTCTCTTGTCATGGCTCTCGTTCTTTCACATCTCCACAGGTTAATTGATGTTCTTTAATGTCTCACGAGCAACGCAGATCTATCGGTATGGGTATCAAAGAAGATATTGTAATGAGAGTACTACCAGGTCAACCCAAGAGACACATCCCGGTACTTTGACATAGAAAGTAGAGATGTACCTACATGGTCCATCGCCTATGGTATGCACTATGGCAAGTACCTCGTAATGATACCTGCACCACTATATGAACCGGCACCAAGGTTGGTCTGGTTGTTTCACGGCTTTGGTATATAAAGAAAAATCCCCACTTCTTGATAGCTTCTAAGTTTAATAAACGATGTATGAATACAAAGACGAAACATTGCTACGCCGGGCTGCTCCAACCCATACCATGGATGATAGCGGATATAGCCATCATAAACCCGACTGCACAGCACACAAAGAACAAATGAACCCGGATTACAACTTTGTTGGATACAAAGCGCTAACATGGTCTTTATCTATATACTCTTTGTTCATAACCAGCGCAAAGCTTGGAGATATCTATCTACCATTAAATTACAACGTTTGTCTGGATATAAGCGCTACTTCACAAATCATCATGAACAAAATATTAACATAAACACCACGTTCGGAGTCAATTTAAAGCTACTGACGCTCACCTCCCAATCTAACACCACACCAATAATCCAGATCATCCTATTTCTCCCCAAAAAGCGCATTCCCCCTAACCTTCCCCTCAAACCCCACAATATGAGTCGAATGACACCACGGCTTCCTCCCCACCTCCAACTTCACCACATCAGCAAACACCCCACACCATCCCTCCCTCCTCCAGCGCTCATTAACTTCCCTCCTCGCATCCTCATGAATCAACCCTCCAAAGTCCTTAACATGCGGATGTTCCCCCACATTATCGTAAATCGTAGCCAACTGAATCAACTGTCCCAGGAACGTGATATTCCCATCCACGCCTAGATCCTGATGCCGGATAATAGCTTCCGCTACGGCGTCGGCAACATCAGCGGGACAGTCGAAGGAAGTAAGTACGGAGTGGGCTTTGATGCCGCCGTAGAGGTCGAAGGACATGTTTGTTGAGGTGAGGAGGGAGGGGGCGGTGCCGATGTCGTGCAGGAGACAGGTTAGGGCCCAGGTTGTTGGGGAGAGGGAGTGGGAGGGGAATTGTTGGGCGAGGAGGATCATTCCTTATGTTATTCTATTAGTAGTGAGGTGGTACGGGACTGGTGTATGGGATTACCGTAGTAGTATACGCGCATGGAGTGGTTGACGGTCTCGCGGGGGAGGAGGGATTGGACGTATTCGAGGGTCTTGGTGACGAGGGGATCGGTGGAGGGGAAGGGGATGTCGGTGATGGAGATGGGCGTGGGTGGGTGGATGAATGGCTTGTCGGGGAAGATGGCACCGGCGTTGGCGGGGGTGCTGGTCCAGCCGTTGAGGGAGATCTTGTCGTGGCACATGTTGATGTGAAGGTATAGTGGTTGCTGAGTATAGGATGAGGGGCTGGAGATGGGTGAAGATGAATAGGATAATGGGGGATAGGGACTGTGTTGGTCGGCTTTATATATGTAGGTAAGTCTTGGTCTCTACATGCTGGGATTTGTAATATAGCCAAGGGGATGTAACATCTCTAACCCATGGATGGATGGGAGGAGATCTGATGTCACACCCCAAATAGGCAGTCTTTTGGAGTGGGGCCATCGGCTTAGAGTTGATGCCAAGCTCCCGCCTGGTCGGGTCTAGATCCACGTGTTAATCACAATTTCCGAGGATCCGATTTTCCACTAAGTCATCACTACGCAGGTGAGAAAGGGTTGCTTTCATGAGTGATACACTGGCCCAGCTTACTTCTGGCTTGAGCAATGCGTCATGCTGCATGACTATACACCTGGGATCCATGACTACGTACTACTCTATGTATCGGAGACAAGTCGTTGGTTAATCCACAGTATAAGCTTGATACATAATATTGGAACAACTAGCTATTATATTCGCACGTATATGGTATCCTGTAGTATCCTGTAGGGATCTCTTCGCATATTAAAATTTAGAATTAGCCATCACCCCAGCTCGTATCGCTCTACCTCCTGCGAAGCCATCATTTCCTGCGGCGGCTTATGCATCTTCGTATCCAACTCCTTCGCCGGTTCACTGTGAGCACCTCCTGGTAGCTCCGCAAAGCCCCTAAACATCGACCTCCGTTGCTCTCCAGCCGCCTCTTGACTTGCCCCGCGGCGACGGCGAAGACAGAACACAATGGCTATACCTGCTGCGATCAACACTGCTCCACCGACACCCACCCCGACGCCAATTCCAATTTTGGCCCCGGAAGACAGGCCACTCTTGGAGCTGCTCGAGTTGTCGGATGTTTTGATGCCCCAGTACGTAGCCCAGCTCTCCTCCCAGGTACCGTTAGAGGCAGAAAGCGACGTGTCACCCGCTGCGATTCGGGTGATGTCTTCACTGGCGTAACCCGGGCCGGGGGCCTGTGCCAGAAACCATGTGCCAGTGTTGTTCCCGTTGAACCAGTTCACCCCAACGAATGCGGACTGGAGAAAGGCTCGACCGAGCACCGGGGTGGAGGTAGTGAGGAAGCACGGGAAGTAGGTGACGTTATGATCAACCAACGGTTCTTGCAGCGTAAGATTGAGCTGGGAAAAGGAAATCTTGATGGTAATGTTCTTGTTGTTGACCCCATTCATGTTGAACACAAAGGAGAGGTATGCGGCGGAAGACGTGATATTCAAATAATCATCGCTCGTGGTGTCCCAGAAGTATAGCCCCAAGCTGGAATTGAAGGAGATTGGCATGGTGGAGGTGATGGCATCGCATGTCGCCTGGGGAAGGTACATGTAGGGCTTGGTGGGATCGATCTGAACTGTCTTGGCCTGAACCGAACCACTGCTTTGAAGAAACAAACCACTTTCGTTGTTGAAGCTGAAGGGAGAGGAACCCGCCGCAACACCCAGCCCAATATCCTTTAATTCAAGTTCCAAAAGACCACTCGAAGACACTACTCCCTGCGCACTCACGTCTCCGATCACTCGGCTCTTATCGTAGCCCCCCAAGATCAGGGAGCCTGGGATTTTGGGGTCTACCGACCCGATATGCAAGCCGTACGAGTAGGACGGAATGTCGTTGGACGAGTAAAGCCATCCTGCAATCATGTTCAGAACCGTCGAATTGGAGACGGTATCCGACAAGTACGGACCCCCCAAGGCAAGACTGCCGACCGAGACAGGATAGGCGATGCCATTGGGATAGGTCTGGTAGGTCTGGTAGATGGCTTCGAAGCTCACATTGGGGACGACAAACGACCCTAAGGTGACCTCATCGCCGAGCACAGCTTCTTGGCTTCCACCCTCCACGGCCCAGTAAGTTGTTTCCCACGAGCTGGCGGTGGTGTAAGCGGTGGTGGAGGTGTTTTGGTTGAACGTGCCTGCTTCGGCAGCGTAGCAGGTGGATGACAGGGTTTTGTTCGTGCAGAGAGTGCTCATCAGGATCGTGCTAGCATAGTTGGCTCCGGGGTAAAGATCGACCGTCTGCTGGTTGCTGCCCACGTCGATGGATACGGCCTGCCACGGGCCATCTGGACCGTAGGCTTGGGAAGACCAGCTCATTACATAGGGATTGGATGCCGAGGAGGTCTGCAGAAATACCCCCAATAGGGGGAGAAGTATCGGTCGCATCATACCATGGATACTTCAGCAGGCGTTCAAACAGCCTGCGATGGGGGAAGAAAGCAAAAGAAAAGAAGGAGTAGGGAAAAGCTGCGAGATGAAGGATATGGGCTGGCCGGAGGTGAGATTATGAAACGAAAGGAATGCGACCGGGGGGCACATTGCTGCAAGGCGGGCGATGGTGATGGCTTCGCAGGCCCGGTGCGCGCTAAAGGATTGGTTTGGGTGTTGGGACTCCGCTGACATGCAGCTCAGCCATGCCTAATGAGGGATGAGGTGTGTCCATCCGATGGGGATCGGCCCCAAGAGATGCTGAGAAGAGCTGAAGGATTGCTGATTGTCAGATTTCAGGTGGTCAGAAAGCGCAATGTTGGGGGCTTTCCAAGGGGGGGAGGGATTGACTTCTCCAACTGTATTCAATCGATGGACTGGAGACCATATCTATCTACCATTGCTGTAATTTGAGGGTCTGTCTGTCATGACAGCCACCCGCTAAACTGTACCACTGATTCGACTTCATCAGGTGCGATTTGGGAATCAAATCCGAGGGCCGGGAAGAGGGGGGTTGTGGGGGCACCAACGCAATGGGAATGCTGGATGGATCAGCCATGAACCAGTCATCGCCAGTCATCCCGTTCGGCCCCCAAGTTGGATCCCCAAACTGCTGTGGAGAGTTCATTTATTCCCTTTGATTTGTTGTTCCTATTCATAACTCTGATGAGAAGTGGAATGGCTGGAGCAGCCACAAACTTAAGCACTTAAGCCTGACTTTTCCCGCTAGTCTTCTGTTTCCCCCCGTGGAATATCTGACACGTCCAGCATCCAGCCGGGAAGCACCACGATTTCAATCAATTTCCACTCTGGCAGCCACATGGGACGCCTGACGTGAATTGATTTCCACATCAGGAATAGATCTGAAGCTTGGTGCCAAAGCCAAATGGACGGGATCAAAATCTGGTTGGCTGACGTTACCTCGGAATAAGCGAGCATGTCGGTTATTAGCCCTCGGTCCAGACCTGACTAGTCTAGCAGCCTCTGCCAGGTGGTCTCCTAATCGTATCTATTCGTTGAGAATTGGATAAACTTACCTTCACAACATTTCGGCCTGTCTGTCACCCTATGTTCGGTCCGAGAAAAGCACAGACCGTATCCAATTGCTCCACCATCCACGGACATCTGCCCGACGCCGGGTTATTATCGTCTGCTAATCAGTTCGACAAGCGAACTGACTCGTTAGCTCGTCTTGTCGAATTCCACGAGAGTCATCACATGTTCAGTAGTCTCGGTTGCTGATTACTCCGTAGTGTACTATTATATCTCTCTTTCTCTTTCTCTCTCTCTTTTTTTATATTTGCTTTTTATCATTCATTCAATAATTCATTCATTCAATTCCCTTCCTGCTCTTCCTCTCTTATCTATTTTTAAGGGTTTAAATGAGTACTAGAGATAAGTCGTTTCTGCATTCAAGCTCCTGTATGTCTGGGAATATTCACTGTGCCGCAGAGATAATCAACATGGTGATTCCTCAAGTTGTAGTGTTCCAGTGTATACTAAAATGAAACAACAATGAGAGGGCGAGAAAGAAATACAAATAAGACTGAAAATTATAAGGAAACTTGATGCGCAGTCAAGTAAAAACTAGCACAAACCGCCTTGCGAACCCCTATACAGAGTACACCATATCACGGACAATAATCCACGTCACCCTCGCACCCCATCCACTCAAAATGTACCAGATCCACAATGCGTCTTAAAGTCCGCGGCTCCAAAAGACTTCTCGTGATATCCGCTAACCACGACGCATGCAACGTAGACGAGGACCGACACACTCCATACTTGAAATCCAACTCCGCCCGCGTCTGCCCTACGCTAGGGCCCTTCTCCCCAAGAGTCCCAAACGGCGCCAACGCCTCCAAAAGCCCCCTATACGCCTGCCGATGGTCCCTCGACCGAGACAAGCATTCATCATCCTTCCCAACCACAGAGACCTGCGTACTTACCTCAAACATCTTATGATGCGAGCTCATAACCGCCCAATTACAAAACGCCATCAAGACATACGCACACGTCCGATTCGTCTGCACAGCAAGCGTAGCGGTCTCCAGACACTCGAACATCACTCGATCCAAATACTCGCATAGATTCCCTCGAACTCCACGCAAAACAACGTTCTCCCGCTGCTTCCGTGCAGTATCGCTGCGCAGGTCCACCAGGTCGTTGATCAACGTGCAGGCAATACTCAACAGCGTGTACTCTGCCTCGTTGACCCGCTCCTTCGTTCCCACAGAGGCAGACGCCACGGCAAAGAATAGCCCTAGGTCGACGTACCGGTGCGCGGTCAGGCTAGTCATTCGACTGCCGTAAACACCGGCTGGTAAGCGGCACCGTGCATGGTCGCGGTAGTAACCTAACACCCTGAAATGTAGCATCGATGCCATCATGTTGTCGAATGCCCATTCGGAGAAGAGTCCCGATAGCACGCATAGCTTCAAGAATGCTACTGCGGCTGCGCCGCTTTGCTGCAGAAGTTGTAGGGTTGCTTCATCCGCTACCTCGCAGTAATCGGCGATCAGGATATCGTTGCCTGCGTCGGCAATGGCGCGGATCAGGCCATCGTGGGCGGTATCACTGTGGATGGCGCCGAGCACGAAATAGTACTTGGCATCGGTGCAGAATTTGACATCTTCGGCTGTGGGGTAGAGCTGCCGACAGATGACATTAACGGTGTCATCTTTGGGACTGGGTCGGCGATCCGGGGCTCGTATCGCGTGAAGGTTGGTAGCCTCTGCTGGCCCCTGGCATGTGCTTGGGAAATCTTGGACATCGGCATTGGCCTGGAGGATTTCGGATACTGCTTCGATGAGGTTTCTAGGCGTGAAGAGGGATGTCGAATTCCATTCGGACTGTCTCTTGATGACGGTCTGAAGCGCCTGGTTGGTATAATGGATAGCAGAGCAATTAGCACTTTCGGCAATGGAAGCTATGTCTGTGTCTGACGGGAGAGGGTATAGGCCGTTGCAAGGACAATTTGAATTGGGATTGTAATCTCCAGACGCGAGGTTGGTCTCGCTGCAGCTGGGAGGATTGACTCCACCGAGGGGTATCTGGCCGTTGGCGAGGGATCGGCGAAAGGACGAAGCCACCCATCTAAGTGAGTTGTAGCTTGGGAGAGGGGAAGAGGCTTCTCGGAGGAATATTTCAGCCTGTTCAGTCACAGTCAGGTTGGTGGTGGTATCTTGGTCGAGATGGGGAGGTGGCAAAGAAAGCCATATGTTGACCCATGAAAGATAGAAAGAAAGGTCAACTTTGCCAGCTGGCTTACCGATGATGTTGCCCATGGTATGTAGTATGTCTAGATAAGAGAAGGATGTTCAATCGGTAGCAGTAAGACACAGTACTGCTCATTGATTAGAAGGGTGTCATGGTACATCTTTATATACTAATAACGATCACGGCTGGCTGTCTTTGGGATTAGCTTTACCTTCCTCGCCACAGCCGTAAACCGGTTATTCCAAGTCCTTGAAATCTGTCTAGTCTAGCAGCATTGCAGATTTAACTTGATAGGTAACGATTGATCGTTGTGTCCATCGTCGGACCAAAGTCCCTCCAGGTACGACACGAGTGCCAACGAGATTGGATGGAGTACCCTATATCCAGTAGCACCAGTCCCAAAACAGGGAAAAGAGCATGCCAATGCTTATTTCATGCTTCAATTAGCACTCGAGAAGGGCCATCAGCTCGAGGTGCCTTCAATGCCAGTGTCGTATCCCAGCTAGATGCAGCAACACAGACTGCAAGTCCCGCAAGGGCCCAATAGGAGTCTGTCCCGAAAGAACAATACCAACTGTCGTTACGTATGGGGCATAGATGGCAGCTGAAGAGACTCTGCAACATGCATATTTGCCCCTTCACCGCACAAATATTGTTCGATGTAACTTGCCGCGCCGCAAGCCCGGCCCCACAGGGCTTAGACAGGTTTGAGAGAGCTGAAGAAAAAGTATGTTTTCATGCAGGGCCTCACCAGGGTTTGGTTGAGCGTTCAGCTGGAGATTCCTTCAGTCGCTATCACCTTCTAGTTTACATGCTCCTTTATAACTTCTTGATTCAGTCGCCAGTCATTCCTGTATCTGCCATCTCGCACTCACGGAACCACAACTTGGGCAAAATGAACAAGACGGAAACACCATCGGATACTTTTTCCGAGCTCCACTCGACAATCGCGATTGGGCTGTCGCCAGCATTAGTGGGACTGCTTCTCGGCATTTATTCGCTTTGCTATTTCGTAGTGCCTGCTTTGAAGTACCAGAATACCAGCAATCAGCCACCCATCGTCGGATATCGAAGCCTTTGGGAACCTACCTGGTTGGTACGACTTCGTTTCATCCGGGGAAGCAGAAAGATTATTGGCGAAGGATATGAGCGCGTCAGTTACCACAATTTGGATCTACTCTCAGCTCATGCCCACTGACACCCATCTAGTTCAAAGATTCTATGTTCAAGGTGCGACGAGTTGGAACCGATGTTCTGCTCGTCTCTAGCAAATACATGGATGATATTCGCACCTTGACCCGCGATGCCACCGGCTCTGTGCCCCCTTTGGTCCAGGATTACCCCGGTGAATATACGCATGGCATGCCATTCTTGCGCAGTGATCTGCAAAACCGAGTCCTTCAACAGAAACTTACTCCGAATCTTCCCTCGTTAGTCCCGGTGATGGTTGAAGAGCTGGAATTTGCAATGAAAATGGAGATGCCCGAGTGTGCTGGTTTGTGATCGTTGATTCAGATCGCGAACAGCCTGCTAACGCATCAGCAGATGACTGGACTACAGTCGACATCATGCCAATCCTCTCACGAATTATCACTCGCATTACCTCCCGCATCTTCCTCGGACCCAAAGAAGGCCGTAATGAAGAGTGGCTCGTGGCCACCGTGGAATATACCAAAAACCTCTTCCTCACGGGCATGGCACTGCGCTTCTTCCCGCGCTTTCTCAGACCACTCGTCGCTCCGCTTCTACCGTCCTACCATCATCTTTGGCAGAATGTGGCGACGTCTCGACGCATAGTCGGTGAGATCGTACGTGAACGTAGAGAAATTGAGGCTGCAAAGCCAGCAGATTACACGAAGCCTGCGGACATTCTGCAATGGATGATGGATGCTGCCACCGGTCAAGAGGCGGAACCCGAGGACCTAGCACAACGGATGCTGATCTTAAGCGTGACATCCATCCACACCACAACATTAACCATGACTCAAGCTATCTACGATCTCTGTGCACACCCACAATACCTGGAGCCCCTCCGAGCCGAGGTGGTAGACGTGCTGTGTACAGATGGTGGCTGGGGCAAATTAACGGTCAACCACCTGCGCAAGATGGACAGTTTACTGAAAGAGTCGCAGCGATTTAATCCCGTTTTCTTGTGTATGATAAACACAACCCCCTTTCTATCCTACTTCCATGACTAACAACAGCACAGTAACCTTCAACCGCATCCTCCCCAAGTCAATAACCCTCTCCAACGGCGTCTCCATCCCTGTCGGCTCGCGCATCGCAGTCCCTTCCAACGCCATGTTAAACGATCCTTCCCGAGTGCCAGGTAACGCGCCAACTTCCTTCGATGCCTTCCGGTACTCGAGGCTGCGTGAGGAGCCAGAGAATGCCCAGCGGCACCTCTTCGTCATGACTGATCATAATAACTTGGCATTCGGCTACGGGAAGTTTGCATGTCCTGGTCGGTTCTATGCCGCTAATGAGATGAAGATGATGCTGGCGCTTATGCTCATCTGCTACGATATAAGGTTCCCTGATGGGTGCAGGAGGCCTAGGAACTTTACTATCGACTCGGATATGTATCCTGATCCTGCTACGCGTTTGCTTATCCGGAAAAGACCTTCGGTTGAGAAGGGTATGGAGGAGCTATTGACGTCTGTTGCTCCTGTGGGTGCTTAATTTAGGGTTGAGTTGGCTTTTGCGTGTGGGAGTATGAATATGAAAGGACAGCTTGGCTTACGGATTTTATGTGTAAAGCCTTATGAGCCAAGATTTGGGAACGATGCATAATTCAGTGAATTGTGATTCTATACTTTGTTCTAGGACGTACAATATACATGGCTATCTGGAGTCGGAGATGGTTGATAAAGCAGACAATATTCCACTCCTTCACCACCCAAAGTTGTACACCATCTACTCACTGACCACCGGCCCATCCGCAGTTAGGAATTCAAAGTCAGCCCCAAGATGCGCCTGATTCACCTCCCGCTCATAAAGACCCCGATACCCCCGTTGATACCGTCTCTTCCTCCACGTGGAGTCCTCCGACTCCGTGACTGCTTGCTCTCGCTGTCTAATCCTGTCTTGGAGCTCCTCCTCACTAATATCCAGCTGCAGCAACCTAGCTTCTACATCACAAACAATCATGTCACCCGTTTGAACAACACCAAACGGCGACTCCAGCACTGCAGACTCCGGAGAAACATGCAAGATAATAGTGCCCCCAGCAGTACCAGACATTCTCCCGTCCGATATTCTCAGCATATCCATCACTCCTTGAGCTGCCAGCTTGCGAGGAATAGGAATCATACCCGCCTCCGGCATCCCTGGGTTCCCAATGGGCCCAATGCCTTGCAGAACGAGCACAGAATCTGCAGTTACCTCAAGCTCGGGGTCATCTAGTCTTTTAGCTAGATCCCGGGGGTTCTCAAATACCACTGCGGGGCCTCTATGCCGCAGGAGACGCTTATCTTTGGAAGCGGATGCCTTGATGACCGCCCCGTTGGGGGCTATGTTGCCCGCTACAACAACCAGTGAAGAAGAGGGGCAGAGCGGGTTAGAGAGTGTTCGGATAATCTGCCGCGAGTACTCGAAGTCGCGGAACGGTGTTCGGTTTAGTATGTCTCCTAGTGTTTCGCCGGTAATTGTCATCGCAGATTCGCGAAGCAATGGTCGCAGGCGATGCAGAAGACATAGCATGCCGCCAGCGTTGTGAAAGTCCGTCATATAGTTGTCTCCGCTGGGCTTCAAGTCCACTAGGAGGGGGGTGCTTCGGCCAATGTCATCGAGTGTTTTGAGATTGATTGTTCCGCTGATGTCGGGGTGTCGATTGATAATAGCCATTAGGTGGACCATAGCATTTGTTGACCCGCCAATGGCCTGGAGAACAACAGCAGCGTTGTAGAATGAGTCGGCTGACAGGATCTGTCGTGGTGTTCTTCGCTCCTTTGCAGCGGCGACTGCATTGGCACCTGTTTGTTCTGCTATACGCAGTCTTGCAGCCGATACAGCGGGTGCTGAAGCGCCCTGTAAGGGAGTAAGTCCTAATGCGGCGGTGATACACGCCATAGTGCTTGCTGTGCCCATGACGCCACATGTTCCAATCTATAAATTCATTAGCTGCGGCCTATATAGAAGAGACAGGTTGAACGAACCGTTGGCGCAAGCTCCTCATTAATCGAGGTAATCTCTTCCACGTCTATAGCTCCCGCCCGGAATGATGCCCAATTGTTTCTGCATCCGATCCTTTTTCCTCTGTGACTGCCAGGCATCATTGGCCCAGTTAACAACGACAAAACGGGCTTGTTTGCAGAAATGCCTCCCATAATCTGGGCAGGGACTGTCTTATCGCAACCTGCAATCCTTAGCATCACCCGCCGCCTTGGGGAAAAATAGGGTGAAATACCTCCAATCATAATACAAGCATCAACCGGCTGCGCGCGGATCATTTCCTCCGTATCCATGCTCATCAAATTTCGAAGGAACATACTCGTTGGATGTGAAAATCCCTCGTGTAAACTAATGGTCGGAAAGTCGATAGCAATACCGCCGTTAAGATGGATGCCTCGCTTGGCGGCCTCGATCAACTGCGGAGTGTTGCCATGGCATGGGTTGAAGCCAGATCCGGTGTTAATTATGCCAATTATAGGACGAGATAGCGCATCTTCTGAGTATCCCAGTGCTTTGATGAACACTTTGCGCAGGAATAATGAGAAGTGGGCATCTCCATAGGATGTCAGTCCTTGTCGCAAACCTGTGGTAGAGGTGATTGGCTGCTGGAGGTTGTAATCTTGGTTCTCAGGCTCGGTGGTATCCATCTTCCCGGCCACCATTTGTTACAATATTCCGTGAAATGAGTTCGGATGAATCTCCCCGGTCATTGGCGATGTTCTGGTGGGGGATTTATAATGATGATCATGGCATTCGGCAAAGCTTCATAGCCGAAGCCAGCGGAGCATCTCCGTCGACTGCGGCAGCGACCCGTTCACCTGTGTGGAAGTGACAACATATTTTCTCAATCCCCACATCATAACACACAGGTGGACGCGAAGCTTTGTGGGGAGCACTAGGCTTCTGTAATTCTGTTAGGTCTTTCCTTTTTGACTCATCTGGCAATGTCAATCCGGGGTAATGGGGTGGCCGGGAGGGAAGTCCAGGTTGGGCCCGTTGTTTGGGTGGGTTGGGTTGTGGATAGAGTCATGATGATATGGTTTGGGTGGATGTTGTGACGAAAATTGGTGTTATTGGATGTGGTGCGCTTTGAGGGTGTTGATGTTGATGTTGATAGTTATACTATGACTACTATGAATTAGTATCGGTTCAATAGGAGGAGCGGAGCGCATCCGTGTTTCGGGGCGGAGTCGATCCGCTGCTGGGAATAGTCACTCTAGCTCTTTAAGTACTAGAAACTTGGTCTTTGTAAAGCATGAGGGACAATTTTTTCAATTAGATCAGTATGCATTAAGGACAGAAAATTATTGGATTTCCTTATTTTAGTCCCTATTTTCCATTCTTTTATTTTCTTTTCTAATCGTAAGGTATGCTGCCCTCCCGTGATCTTTGAACCCGCTGATGCATGAACTATAGAATCCTTTAACAGCTATTCTCAGTGCAGAATAAGTAAGTATCATCCCTACTAAGGCTAACAATCAATCAACCAGGAGCAACCGCTACTAGGAATTGACGATTGTGTTCGTATATTTCTGCCATAATCCGTCTAGCCCACCTGCTTCCGAAGGACAGTAATAGTGACTACAGAGACAGACTGGGCCGAGCTCCCTTTCTTTGGCAAGCCTGTTGGACTACCCCAAGGGAAAATGCTTGAGCCGTTGAGCTAGAGATTGTTTGTTCATGGAAAACGAGATTCTTTGCCTTTCCCCAATCCACTAACCGGGATTATATGCATGGCATTGGATATTGATAAGTGACAGGACACATTGGGGCTCTATGGGAATGTTGTTTGCCAGAAAACAAGTTCTGTTCAAAAAGAGTCACCTCTAACTGCATTTGAGGGTTCGTCGTGTTCCATACGTTGATGATGGAAGTTGACCGGGATACATCAGGGAAGATATGCCGAGTATGGAAAGCAGCCATACGCTATATTATCAGATAGTATATGTTTGACGTGGAATGTTATGATAAAGCTTTGCTGGACCCGATACATCCTAACGTCTTCTGTCGATTAGCGCGATCATCGCGGCTACGAGATATATACTACATAGTCTATTGTCCTGATGATGCAGGGAATCTATGTCTTCATCGGTCATTCAACTCAACTAACCCGGTTTCTGTCCGTACACAACCTGTCTGCGAAGGGTTAGGATCGTGTCATAATCATGCAAGAAGCTCACCGACATTTGCAAATATCCCTCAATCTTGCCCTTTAGTGCCCGACGCGCAGAAGCGCACATTAGCACAGTTTCCGCGAAGCTCTTCCCAAGGTACTTTTCCAGTAGTGTGAAACTGTACCCTTCCAGTCCTGCAGCCCAGTTTTGAATGATTTTTGTCGTCAATTCGTCGTGGCCCGCAGTGCATAGAGGTATAGCATAAGTATGTTGAGTGACGTTGGTAAATCCATGCTGAGTGAGTTCCGCTCCGAAATGAAGAGGAAGATCCAACTGGCGACCATCTCTGGCGTGGGCTGTGGTCATCTCCCGGATGTAACTGTGGAATGGGCTGTCTTCACCAGGGTTATCTAGTTTAACTCTCATATCACATATCTCCACCCACCCGCCTGGAGCGCAGCAACTGGAATTATGATGAGTTAGTCTGGCGGTGAAAATTCTTTCTAGGAGAGTGATTACCTATATGATCCCTCGAGTAGAAGTGACAAGAGCTGGCGATCACCCTGGATCTGATTAATATGAACTAAGTCAATATTTGCGTATTGGGTATGCCAGCCTGGTTCACAAAGGTTGTCGACCCAAAACTCGCAGTTTGGTGGTACCCTATATCAATTAGTTGGAATTTAGGGCCATTCCACGCAAGGAAGTCGTACCATTCCTCTTGCATGTTTACTAAGTCGATGCCGCGAACCTAACTGGTCAGTTCCTTTGCATCGATGCATAATGTCTTCAGACTTACAGTCGATGAAGGATATCTTTCTGCTGCATAATATATTAATCCCTGGATAACAATCGCAAGTACACCTTGAACGTACCACATTCCATAGCCCAGCAACCAGTGCCAGTGCGAATATCAAGGACGCTTCGCGGACTCTGTATAGGGGCGAGGTATAATCTATCCTGGAACAGCTCACGAAGCAAAACGTGTTGTTCCTCTACTCCATTATTAGCTAGGGATATTATAGCGTAGCAGATACCCATACCTAGTCTGTCTTTCTCTAACTTCAACTTGTTAGCTGCATCATTCCAATACAAGTAAGGGGCTCACCTCGTCAATCGGCCACGGATGTTGCTCCAAGCGTGTCAAGGAATAGCGTCGACCATGCCTGTACAGGTTCGGATGGGGCTCAGTATCGAAGCTCTCTGTCTCTCTTTCTTTCAGTCAGTCGTTGGTGCAAACTATGGATGAATGGATAGATACATACCGCTCCATATCATAGTCTACTGTGTCTAAGTCTGATATACTGTCTTCCATAACTTTTGCTGTTCCAGTATCTCGGTGACTAATTACCATGAATGAAGACGGATCGCATACTTTAAGCCATGGATTCAACACTTATTTAACTTCATGATAGCCGTCACAATATGTACTCTGCGCCTGTCAGTCAAAAAACAAGGGTTCAGGCACGAACCGCGGAAGCGCATCCACTTCCGATAAGGTTCGGTGTGACTCGGGATTTGCGTCGGCATTAGAACAACCTTACTCCGGATGATTCCAGCACATGCAGGAAAAACTGCCTTATAGCAGTTTTCCATTTACCCACTACACTATATTTATTGTGGCGCGACTAGCGAGGCAAGTGACTGAAGTCCCACATCGGAAGGAGCCGGGGCCTGAGCGGTTACTATTTCCGTTCGGTTGCAGATTCGTCGCTTCCTTCTTATACATAGGGCATCTACTCGATTCACAGATATCAATGGAACTTCCACACCTAACCATCATGAAATCACGGACACTCACACTTTACCGAACGCCTGCACTCTCTGTAGAGTACAGGCTCTATAGTACAGCTTGTTTCAAAACCAGGCCGAGTTTATTCAGAAACAACAATGCTCCCCAGCTCATTTAGATGAAATGTACACTATCAAACAATATAAGGACGAGGGCCGAGTTATCTCCAGTTCGCCCGATACCCCATCAATGATCACCTGCACAGTACATCGAGAACCATCGATCAAGCTTGTTTGGTGCCACTGTCGTGCAGGCGCCACCTATCATTGGCGGAACGCGCAGCCGGAAGGATCGATATGCAAGGTTAGCTCATCAGTGGGCCTTGTGCGCGATTCTATCCTGGAACAGGAAAAAGGTAGGCGATAGATAAACTGTGCACACTAGGGCGGTCGATCTATTCCTATCCGTGATCTGCAGCATTAACCAGGCAATTTGAGGCTATATCATGTACTTTTATAACGCCTATAGCTATCCAGCATAGGCCTAGATTCAGCCTTTCTTTTCCACGGCGGACTTATGTTTCAGATTTTCTTTCTTTTGTCGCTGAACCTTAATATGTCGATATTGGGTGACAATGTCCCTGTTCTCGTGGTTGGGAAGAATCGTGAGGTTGTGCTACAACGATCGCCGCGGCTAACCGGTAGAGAGTTTTCTCATTTGGGCATGAATCACTGAGTTGCTGGCACTCTCGTTTCTCGGAGAATCTATTGAGAAACTTGATCTCTCCAAATATATAGGGAATATAACACCCTCCTTCGTTTCCTAACTTGTGCACTGGATGATATAGTTGTGACGGATGTTGAGGCAGAGGCTTTGCTAGTTTTAGTCCTCTCTGAGGCGGGATCTAGGCTTTTCTGAGCCTTAGAGGCAAATCTTTCCCTGATCTTTGATTTTAAATAATCCATATAGTCTACTCAACGGGTCTAGACAGGCAGAGGTGTTCTAGTCGGCATGAACGTATATTAGAGCTGCATAAAGACGAAGGATTGTGATGCAGGGTTCACTAGAGGATGATAGCCAAGCGATCACCTGCATAAGCGTTGGGGCCGGCGAGGCTGTGGCTTGGCCGATTGCACGCCACTGGGCGAATAGTAGCCTGAAGCTAAGTATCCTGTTTCTTAGCATATTGGACTGGTTGTTAAGTGCTCTTGCAGTTACAAATTATTTCTATGAATTATTCTCGAATGGTTGTGGCAGCATTACACATGTTAACGCGATTGTGATTGTGTGATTGTGACTGTAATGTAGTTCCGATTAAGGAGAGAAGAGAGAGAGAAGAGGTTATCCCAATCTTGTGAAGTAGACACATGCTTTGCTATACTAACTAGGAAGGCATGATGATGTTATGTGACAGAGTACACCCTTACCTTCTTTATATTTCCATTTTACCATCGACTAATAGTAGACGAACTATATATGCATAGTCCTTGTCACTGGCTTTTACATTCAAGCTGCGCGGCATAAACTGTCATTACCAGCCGCAATGCGTCGCTACGTTTTCACTTTTCATTGCCAGGAAGCTCTGTTCCGCTTGTTATAGACCAGATTTGCCAGTTTCGCCATATCAAGGTCGAAATTTTGCCCTATTAGTTCAAGTAACAATCATATTTGCTGAACACTGGAGTCTTCTATCGCTGTCTGCTTTGATTTTCGTGCCCTTATTCTGGAAACTGAATTATAATTCAGGGAAGCGCGTCATATCCTGCTCCGCCTGTGTATAAGTTCTGACCAAGCAATTGTGGAGATTCCACTATTAGCAGTTATTACTTACTTAATAGTGCGACGCGGTTGGACCGTCATTACTTCTTCTGGCTTTGGCAAATGCCAGATGTCTTTGTGAAGAGCGATACTGCACAATAGAGAAGGACATAGCTTTGGTATCCTTTAAGCAGATATGTTTTTCGTCAATGTGGAGATTCCCAAGATCACACAGACGATGGGATAGCAGCGGGAATTTGACCTCGACCCACAAATCTCTCGTCGTTATAGGTACCTGCCTCTCATCTTGCAGTCTCATATCGGCACTCGCAGGTATGATCTACGTTTAACACAGCCTGATATCCTAGGTAAGATTGTCGCAATCAGTGACCGTGTCAAGGCCACCCGGTTCTCAACATTCTCCGTCGGAGTTTGTTCACGCGGTTTACTTTCCGCTAGACGGTGGTAGATCCTTTGGGTGTGTCGGGCCATAAAGGATGATTCTATAGAGCACCCCAATATCCGCTCCGCGTAGTCTCCAAGACCAGCCAACAAAGACGAGTCCAAATATGATGGAAGCCCCAACGACGGCAGTCGCAAGGGATAGGACCTCCGCCATATTATAAGCGCGCACATCCGTGCAAATGAGTTGACTTACCGTCCCCCAGAGGCGCCGCTGCTTCGAGTGCAAGTAATATTTCCACTTGGTAACAGAACTGCATATCAGTGCTTCCTGCCCTCACGATATGCCGCATAACCAGGCAGCGGCAACTGTGATGATGGTGGTGGTAGCGCCGCTGGCGCGAGAAAAGCGAGGCATCGATTGTGACGATGGTTGGGAAACCCTGTCGCTTCAATTGCCCAGTTCGAAGCAATGCACAGCAGCGGGTGCCCCTGTGGGTTTACCATCTGGTTCAAGGGGCTATGGCAATGCCTTGGTCAGTTTGAACTGGTGAGAATTTTCCTACCCAACTATACGTGCCGAAATTGATGCCTGTTTACACGTCGAAGATTTGTCTGGTAGACGTGGACTGATAATTCCCATGCTCCGAGGTTCAGCTGGGGCTGTGGAGGACGCGATGACCTGTCCGTCGCAGTAAAGGAGCCCACCCTTTTTAAGCAGAGGCTGGAATGATACATGCCGGGTCCTTAATCTCCGTCAATGCGCAGCCAACAATGGGCAAAGGAGCGGACGCTATCCCAAGGACTCTTTGCATTTATATGAAGACCTGTGAGCTCTTCGAGCCCTATTTTGGCTATTATAGTGAGATATACTGTGGTTAATGTTATAAGTTTCATAATAAAAAAAATAGAAAGGCTTCGGTATAGGAATTTCGACGTCTTCCTCTGTAAAGTGCCAATTAGCAGCCAAAGAGTTTCCGACACTCCGCACTGAGGCGATTGTACCTGTCCCTGGCTGTGATAGCGGAAACTTCACACCTGTGCCAGAGCTGGGTAGATCTGTAGGTCCGATTAGCTCCGCATACTTCTAGGCAAAGGCAATATACATACACATGGTAAGCAGTCGTTCCTCCACAAGGGAAGGAAGCACATTTCTGCCACCGGGCTATAGATTGGGTCCTCCCTAGTGTCATAAAACGCCTCGGCGTACGATTCGAGAATCGACGCGTTTCCAAGCATACCTGTTGGCGCATAGCCGGTTAGCAATATGAACAGGATGTCGGTATATTCATTCCGTTTCATCGGTGTCTTCGCGTGCAGGAAACTGGCGACACAGGATTCTCCGGTCATTGTTCAGCGGATAATTCCAGTCTGGTCTCCCATATATGTGCTCCTTGCGCAAGGTTACACTCCTGTCATCGCAAGCGACGCTGGCTTTTGTAATCTTGAGCGTCATATAAGACAGAGTCTGCGTGTATAGATATGGTCAGTTCACAACCCTCCTGCATTAGCCAACAGTACAAGGGGCGCAGACCCTCGGACAGCTTTTTGTGCGCTGTTCACTATGCCCAAAACTCATCCAAATATATAGACAGAAACCATATTCAACGTAGTGGTCGATATATGGATTGTGGATCAATGTATGATAATGTTGGCACGAATTGTCCCCCCCAAGGGGGTGGGGGAGGCTATCAAAAAAGGTAGAGCTGCTCAATGCTGCTAATAAACTAACCACTAGTTGCCATAGCAAAGCACGAGCAGATGTCGAGTGATCTTCGCAATCCCTTTGACTCATACGCAGCATGTGTGCTTCATCGAATACTTCAATTTCAAAGAGGCCACTCAGGTCCCCGGGAAAGTCAGCCGGCATTTTTGGATTCATTGGGTCATATGCCCGTTTCCTTGCCGCACACCATGCCTTAACCGCCTGTGGACTGTGCCGACTTTCCAGCGTTACGAATTGGTATCATATTTCTATCCAGATTATGTCCGCTTGCGCTCATGAAGCATAGACCATCGCACGAGCCTTAGTAGAATCATCCCACTGTTCATTCTCGGCCACTTTGTGTAGGATGGCATAACTAGACCTTAACTAAGTCCATTCAATCCGACAGATCCGTTCAGATCTATTCATGGCAAATCTAGCATATAGCTCCATTTAAGGAGCTGGCCAGTCGTTCAGCTTTGCGCAGCATTTGACTTCTTGTTCGTTTGTATAAAACAAGTACCCAGGGAATTCTGACGCAAGCACAGAAATCGCAACGCAGTTCAAACACACGGATTGATTTCAGAGATGTGCTGTCCGTCACGCAGTGTATGAATGGCTTCGGGCTTCGTCAAGGATGGATGAGGATATCAGCATCAACGAGAGAATCATCATGCTTATCCAGATTCTGCAGCACCTGTACACCAACCCAATGTTAGTATCACCCCCTACTATAGTTGAAAGCTATGACAATAGTCAGTCACAAGATTGTGTAGAAACATACCATTCTCTGGTTCTTCCAAAAGCACACATTCCCACCCACCCAACCCAAGCGTCCTGTTTTGAAAGGAAAGCAAAGGACAGCCACACCCGCTTGAGTATAGC